ATAAGAGCGGTCATAGATGGGCATAGAATAGAGGCACAAACTCTCACTTCCTTTTCAATCTCAAGTCAAAATACTTTCAAAGCAGAACAAAATCCCCCAAAACTTCCATTGCATATTTAATCCAAAATCTCTCTCTCTCTCTCTCTCTCTCTCTCTCTCTCTCCATTGCACATAGCATTGCCATAGAAGACCACAGGCAGCAAGCAGCAATGGATCCACCACCTCTCCCACCTCTTCCCACCACAATCACCACCACAGCCATGGCAGCCACCAGCATGCAACCCAACTACCCTGACTCAGCTGACTCGTCCCCAAGGTCTCGAAATGTCGACGCATGGGATGAGCCTCTCCCCCAAATCCCAGGCGCCAAGCTTCGCCTCATGTGCAGCTATGGCGGCCACATCATCCCCCGCCCGCACGACAAGTCGCTCTGCTACGTCGGCGGCGAAACCCGCATTGTCCTAGCCGAACGCAGTTCCTCACTCTCCGACCTCTGCTCCCGCCTCTCCCGGACCCTCCTCCATGGCCGGCCTTTCTCTCTCAAGTACCAGCTACCAAGCGAAGACCTTGACTCACTCATCTCAGTCACCACCGACGAAGATCTCGACAACATGATCGAAGAATACGACCGCACGGCTTCCACCTCTCTTTTGAAGCCTTCGCGGCTCCGATTGTTTCTCTTCTTTGCCAAGCCTGAAACTGCTGCGTCCATGGGGGCTTTGCTTGATGATGCAAAGTCCGAGTCTTGGTTCGTCGATGCGCTTAATGGGTCGGGTCTTATTCCCAGAAATCTCTCGGACTCGGCCACCATGGATTGCTTGTTGACTGGGAGTGAGAATTCTTGTAACGATTTGGAGGCTCAAGGTGACTTCTTTGGTGACAACAACAACAACAACAAACAGGGTATTAATGGTGTGATGAAGAATGTTAATAATGTAGTACATGATGTGCATTCGATCAATCAAGAGTCACCCTTTGTGGAGAATAGTAGTCCGCCTTTTGGGTCGTCTACTTCATCGCCTTGCTTGTCTAATTTGCCTTCGATTCGGGTTCGTATGGATGACAATGGGGCTAGAGTGATGCAGAATGGTCACAAGGCTATTGGGATAGAGGAACAGTTTGCTCAAATGAGTACTGGTTTTGCTGCTGCTGCACCATCATTGGCTGCTAATTCTGGGGCTTTGCCGCCATCTGGTGCTCAGATGATGAATGCTGTGCCTGTTTCTGGAGAAAATGTGAACAGGGTCATCTCATCAGATGATGAGAGATCATCGGATCAGAGTGTGCCAGTTGGGTTTCGTAAGCCTCCTCTGCCATTGCCTTTGCAGCCTTTGCAAGTTAATAAGGCTGGTGGTGGTGGAGGAGGAGGTTATAGTTTGCCTTCACCCGATTCAGTTGCAAGGTATGTACTTCTCTCTTTGTATCAGATATTTGTTTTAGGTAAAGATAATAGCTTCTATTTCAAAGTAAATGCCGTGGCACACACACAGATAGATTCTATGTATTCTTAAGCTGAAATAGGCCAAGTTAATCTTTTGTTCAATGAATATGAAGAGATGTGCTTCTCTATTTTTAGGTGTAGGTGTTGATGAGAGATTTTAATTTAACAGAGAAAAGTTAGGAGCCAACCATTTTTCTGATTTTTGTTTTTAGAGTTTGGAAATAATAGTTGGGTAAATGGTTATATGGTTTGTCCCAATTGTCCAGTGATAGTAGTATTGCATCTGCAAACTCGCTCTCCAAACCAATGTACTACCAAGAGCAGATCCAAGTTGCATCTAGGGAAAATACCAGAGGTCCTGTTAGTCCAAATACAAACAGCGATGCTTCCGATCTGGGTTCCCAAAGCCAAGTTCAACAAGTTCAGGATTCAGGGTACACCATGCCTCCGCAATCTGATCAACAACAGCAGCAGCAGCAGCAACAACAACAACAACAACAACAACAACAACAACAGCAGCAGCAGCAGCAACAACAACAATTTGTCCATGCCAACACTCATTATATGCACCACCCTGCCACAGGTCAAGTGCCATTGCAATCTTACTACACGATGTATGCTCCACCACCACAGCAACAGCTTCATCACCAGCTTGATCATCAGCAGTATCCAGTCTATTTGATGCCTGTTGCCCAGTCACAACCATACAACATGCCTTTGCAACCTAACATGGCTGATACGACTGCTGTGGCCTCAAGCCGCTTGACATCCCAAAATCCTGCCTCCGCTGTTTACAAGGATAGTATTCCACCCATTTATCCCACAAAGACAACTTCACCTACTATGCCTGAAATGTCTGCAAGTGTTTATAAAACGGTTGTTCCACAAACTCCGTCATTAGTCCAAGTTCCTTCTAACCAATATCAGCAGCAATATGTGGGTTTCTCCCAAATGCATCATCATCCTTCTCAGTCCATTGCTGTACCGTCCTCTGCAACCGCTAGTTATGCTTATGAATATGCAAATCCCTCACATGAACAAGTGTTCTACACCCAGCATCCACCTGCCCCATTGCCTCCTCAATATCAAAGTATGACTCCAGCAGCGGCAGCAGCAGCTGTAGCATTATCAGATGATTCGAAACAGCAGCTACCTACATACTCAGCAGCAGATCAAAACCACACAACCATAAGTCACTAGGCAAGACAAAAAACATTTTGGTGGTATAAAGTTGGATGTTTTTAATTTCATATTAGTTTTCTCTTCTTTAATTGGTGGTTATATTATAGACATTGCTTCGATGCATAGGATTTTATAATAAGGGAATATATTTTCTTCTTCTGTCTTCTTTATGGTTCATGGATTAGAAGTTCTGCCTTATTTTGTATGAATCTGTGTCAGTCATATTGAATAAAGATACATATAGCTGTGGGAAAATGAGATTCATGTTAGTGACTACTTGTAGAAAGTACTTCGCTCTACTGATTTCACTAGGTATTTCCTAAATGTTAACTGCCCTTGCAATTGGAAATTGGCAAAAAAGATGGTCACTTTTGGGGCTTTGTTTGTAATTGAAAGAAATAGAAACTAAACAGCTGCTATTGGATGCAGAACAGAACAGGTTGATATATAGAAGTGGTGGATCGAGTCACGTGGTCTCCGGCATGGACGCCAGATATCTGCAAATCTTTGGCATTTATGTGATACATCTGGGTCTGGCCATGCAATTTTATATATTAGCAAAACGTTTCTTGATCTTGCCCTTCTCTGGCTGCAGGACTGACGCAAGCAGGTTGTAAGGCTGGGGCTGGCATCGTAAAGAACATAAACCTTCAGATATTTTATAAGCATCTTGTGGAATCTATTAACATGCGTGATGCGTCATGCATGTCCAGTCCAATATTGAGATTCTTAACCTTTTCTCCTTCACTAAAAAACCAGATGCAGACAGAGCTAGCTCAATGTCCGTAAAGTCAGTATCAACCAATATAACTGAAGTTTAATTTGATCATGTAAGGTCACTATTTGATAATATAAAATATACGACATGGATACCAAAAGTAATAATATGCGTGCTACTAGTACTATGCTTGCTTAGGTAGGTACATGATAATGTGGAAAGGTCACAAACCTCCATTATTTTTATTTGCACGTTCTGTGTATGGTACGGTATGGGAGAAGGGAGGGATAGTTTTCCGTTTTCTGGCACTGAATTTCTTATTTATTAATAATTAATAATCATGAATAGTCACCCAAAAAAAAGAAGAACAAATGCAAGCAATAAATTTGATTTATTTTTAAATCTTTCTCCCTATTGCCTCTTTTTACTTGACCGGACAAGCTACCACACATCGCTGCATTGTAAGAAGGTATATAGTGCCATGGCAGTGTTCCACGAAAATGACAATCAGATAAAATAATCCTTAATCTATTTCCAGGAAACAAAAAAGAAAAAGAAAAAGTTGCAGTAAAAAACCAAAACAAAAATGAAAATTAGGTGGGTGTGTCTCCCAATCAGCAAGCTCTGAAGTCTAAACCAATAGAAGTCGCCACCGGTGTGTTGTTGTTTCACTCGAGTCGAGTCGAGTGTATAACGTGCAGTGCAGCTCAATCTCAGTCAGTCAGCCCCATTTGCATTTGCCTTCTAAACCCACTCAAATCAAACTCAATGCCTTTCAGTATCGGTCTCAGAGGACCCAGACCACTCTCAACTCTCTGCAACCCGCACCACCATTGATAAATTCTTTGCCAATGCACTCCCCAAACCTTCAAAGACCTCACCTTTAATGGCCGCCACCGCCACCACCTTCTCTCACCTCTCTCTCTCCCCCAAGCTCCCAACTTTTCCACTCCCCACCACGCCCTCAACAAAACCCAGGTAACTCAAGCGCCTTCACTTCTCTCTCTCTCTCTCTCTCTCTCTCTCTCTCTCTCTCTCTCTCTCTCTCATACACACAATCTCTCTTTTTTTTTTTTTCACCCTCTATTATGTGGATATCCCTCTCTGTCTCACTTACACAAACTATCTCTGTTTTTCCATTGCAGGACCTTGAAGTTGAAGATCACCTTCTGTCTGTCCCTAAAGCAATCCAATGACCAAACTCTCACAACCCAAAACGCCGCCGTCGACAACCTCCGTGTGGTCTTCGGCGCAGGAGGCACCGGCGGCCACATATACCCTGCTGTTGCCATAGCCGATGAGCTCAAGAACACCAAACCCACCACCCAAATCCTCTTTTTAGGCTCACCCAATAGCATGGAAAGTACCGCAATACCCTCCGCCGGCTACGACTTCGACACCGTACCCACCACCAAATTACACCGCCCAATCCTCTCTCCTAAGAACATTTTCCTCCCGTATAATTTGATCAGGTCCATCATCCACAGTTACTCAAAATTGCGTGATTTTGAGCCCCATATCGTTTTTGGTACTGGTGGGTATGTATCCTTCGCTATAGGCTTGGCGGCCAAGCTGAAAGGCGCCAAGCTTGTAATCCAAGAACAGAACGCTGTTCCAGGGATAGCCAATTGGGTTCTCTCATTTTTAGCTGATGCTGTGTTTGTGGCTTTCGATTCCACCATTGATTGCTTCCCAAGAGGTAAGACCAAGTGCGTGGTTTGTGGCAATCCGGTGAGGTTGTCTTTGAAAAAGCAAGTGTCGAAGGCGGTGGCAAGGGGGCGTTTTTTTCCAAGGTCCTGTGAGATTGGGAAGTTGGAGAAGGCTAAGGTTCTTTTGGTTCTTGGAGGGTCTTTGGGTGCTAATGCTATTAACATTGCTGTGCTGAATTTATATTATCAGATGCTGTTGGAGAATGAGAACTTGTTTATTATATGGCAAACTGGGGTGGAGGCACATAATGAGATGGAAAGTCTTGTTAAGAATCATCCACATTTGCTTTTGACACCGTAAGTGCTCTGCTATTCTGTTCTAATCTTCTAAGTAAAAGTTAAAAACTTGTAATGGCTAACTTTTGTATCCATTTTTGGTGTAATTCAAAGGGGATTACCATGAAAGGCTTAGAATATTGTTATAGCTAATGATGCTTAGTTTATGTGACATTCATATTCAAGAATCCAAGGTAATAACTTTCGCATCATCCTGATAGGGTTCAACTCCAATAGTGGACTCAGTTTATTATATCTTCCATTTTTGGTCATAGTGTATTTGTCCATATCTTCCTTGAAGCTGATGTAACTCTGTATATTGATATTGAAGGTTCATGCATTCAATGGATTCGGCATATGCAGCTGCAGACCTTGTTGTATCTAGAGCTGGTGCAATGACTTGCTATGAGATTTTGGCAACTGGGAAGCCTTCCATTCTGGTACTTTTGATTTTTAAGTTCTATCTTAAAACATATGGCATGAGCTTTATTGTTTGATTTGCTTGATTTCTGACTTAAGTGACCAAATTAATGGTCATTGTTTCTTCCCTTTTTCATGTTATATGCGATTGTCCTGCATATGAAACCAATATTCATCTGACCAAATTTGATCATGTTCCGAATATCCATAATAATGTTGATTGTATTGCTTAAGGGGAGAAAAATTCGTAATCACCTTTTGACTTTGTAGATACCATCACCTAATGTTGCCGAAGGTCATCAATTCAAAAATGCTTCTTTAATGGCAGACTTAGCAGGAGCAAGGGTTATAACTGAAGATGAACTTGATTCAACAACCCTTGGAAGTGCAATTGAAGAGATTTTAGGTATGTTTATTCTCTTGCCTACAGTGGGTTCTTTTTGGTGTGGTTTCTGTTGGTGTGGAAAACGGGGATCTTATGGTTTTCATTGTCATACTGATAGTAAAAACAACATAGAATCCTGAAAACGCGAGCCTTTGGAGATCTATTAGGATCCATTTCATACAGATTTCTTTTTAACATAACTTGTGGATGAGTTCATCATGATTATTACGATAGCAGACCTTCTCGAGTTGTAATCATTTTCTTTTTTCTTTTTTGTTTGTTGCAAATAATATTTTGCAAATATCATATAAGCTATGTACAATAACTGATAAGAGACTGCTTGCTTGACCTTGAGTGATTCAATGAACCATGTAAACTTAAAGTTTTCCTATTGAGGATTAGAAACACTTCCTACTGTAAAATTGTAAAGACATTCTGGGGAAGTATCATCAGTACTATGGATCTTATAGATATTCTGAAACTTTGCATATGTCTCTAATACTCTTGCTCTACTTGATGTCACCCTTGATTGAAATATAACATCTGCATTCAAAATCAAAGAAATGAGACATAGGAGGAAAGAAGAGAATAGGTAAGTTAACTGAATGGGTTGCCCCTCTAGTCACTTGAAATCTTGGTATAAACATCGAGTCTCTGTATTTTATTTGATGCAATGGAACTTGAAGCAATTTGAACTGTTTTAACTAGGTTGTATATGTCTCAGCTAAGATGCATGAATTTTACCAATGGTAGCGAAAATCTACAAGAAATTATGGATTTAATTTGTTACTGATGAGTAATGTCATTTTATTATGGAGAGTGAGGATTCTTTTTGACTTCAAAAGTTCAATATTCTTAATCAATTTTATTTTTTAGGGGATGAGAGTAAAATGGCAGAGTTGTCTGAAAGGGCTCTGAAAACTTCAAATTCCAGTGCCTCTGTAGAGATTGCACAACACATACTTTCCCTAGTCAACTTATCAACATCAAAGGAGAAGTAGAATTATAGTTGGTTAATATTCTATGCTTGCCGGTAGACCTGCCTCGAAAGGTGGTTCCTCCAATTTCAGATTGCAGTCCACCAAGATTAGTTCATTTGTTATGAACGGAAGCTTGAGTGTTTCATAGAAGTTGAGTGTCCATGAATGTAGGAAGGCTAGGTTCATAAAGTTTTCATTTTCAGCTTTACATAAATGTTTTGTCAGGTTTTCCTTGCGTTGCTAGGCACTCCATTTTATTGTCATAATTTATGTTTGCTTGTGGGAAAGATAAAAGAAAGGCAACGTGTTTGTATTATTGCCCTCTTTTTGACACCTTTTTTTGTCAGAGTTCTTCCTTCATTTGGACGAATCTTTGCAAAACTAGTTTAAAAACATTACAGAAGTAGTTGAAGTTGCTTAACAAGACTTCCTTGCTTGGTTTGGCGGTTCGTATCAAATACAGTCAACATTAAACACCCCACCCGCATCATGAATGATGGACGCAAACAGACCTGGCATCCCTTGTGCTGCTATCTTTGTTGTCCTTTTTGAGCTCTTGTATGATAACCATACGAACAAATAAATACTACTTAAATTACATATTTAATAAATTAAACTTGCTAAGAAAAATTATTACTTTATTTTTATGCAACCTTGTTATATTTAATTCTTTTCTGAATTGTATTTTTATACAAGCGATCATCTAAATTATTCTAAATTAATCTAATTTATGGAGAGAAAAACTCGAACTTGAGTGGACTCACTGTTATAGTCAACTGATCTGATCCACTTATGCTTACGGACTCACTGTCATTGAATTTCCAATCCTAACAAACGCTGAGAAGTTTCTAGTGGGGTCGTATCTACGCAAATTAATATTAGTGAGAAAATCAAAAACTATTTACACCAACCATCTCTCCCGCTAAAGTGGCTTGAGCGTCCCCAAAACCCAAACCCAGCCCATAAAACCAACAGATATTCAAAAAAGAAAAGAGACGACAGCCAAATGCCGTTTCTCACTCCGCATTCGGATATTCGTTCCCTGACCGCGCTTGGTAGTGACCGTTGGTGTTTTAGCCCAATTACATGGTCCGACCCGAAAGCCGAACTATCTCGGGTCTATGCTCGTCAGAGACGGACTGCCTCAAACGGCGTTGCTTTGGATTTGAAGAAGAGAAAGGACCCGCGATTGTCCATTTGTACGGCCGATGAGCTTCACTACGCCTCTGTTCCCAAGTCCGAATGGAGCCTCGCTCTCTGGCGCTACCTTCCCTCTTCTAAGGTCCTCCTCTCTCTCTCTCTCTCTGTATATATGTATGTAGGTGATGTAAGTTTGTGAATTTCTGGGTAAAAATGGTGATTGATTGATTGATGGATATACAGGCGGAGCCTAGGAATCACCCGCTGTTGCTGTTGTCAGGACTTGCCACGAATGCTATTGGATACGATCTCTCTCCTGAGGTGTGATATTAAAAGATTCATTTTTCATCATTATTTTGCTCTGCAACATATGTATATACAAGCAATTTGAAGTATTGAAAATTGAAAACCCAAAGGTTAGGACTTTTGCGGGGAAATCTAAGCCTCTGTTTCGTCATTGCCATACATAACAAACTTCATTTATGTAAAGTAGCATTTCTCAGTTGGTACCGTATATGATATATAAGACTACTGATGGTAATGCATGTGACTGTCTTTTAGTCCTCGTTTGCACGCTACATGTCTGCCCAAGGATATGATACATGGATTCTGGAAGTCAGAGGTTCTGGGTTGAGCACATATGGTATGGACTTAGGGGAGGTGAAGCAGCCTCTCAATGCCATGTCCAAGCAGACAAGGTCTTCAGTTAAGCACGAAAGAAAGAGTAGTGCTTTTGCTAATTCTGAAATGTCTCTGAATGGGACATATAATATGGTGTCTAAATCTGATGAATTGCAATTAGTGACAAACTCAATGGAGACTTTTACGCATTTACCTGAGAGGTTATCAGGCTTTCTAAATGAAGGTTGGTCAAGGAAGTGGTGATTTTGATCAAACAACTAAATTTAAGTCTCTGCTCATTTATCTTGTATGCTTTAATTCAAATTGGGGACTTTGCAGGTTTGTTAGAAGCAGGTCAAAACTCTTCCATTGCTACCCAAATTAGGGATTTAAGTCAAAGGCCTTCAAACATCATTGGAGAGGGTCCACAAGCAGTTCCCACAAGGTTTGTGGACTTCCAAGAGCGCTTTTCTACTAAGTTAGAAGATTTCCAGAAACAACTTGACCTAATTGTAAAGTTTGACTGGGACTTTGATCACTACTTGGAAGAGGATCTGCTTGTTGCGGTGAGGTGACATCCCTTCGGGCCATGTTTGGTGACTAGTATTTGATTGGATTGGATACTCCCTATATTTAAAGCATATTTAAGAAAGAAATGAAATTTTTTTGACCAAGTTGAAGGTAGAAGATGGATTACTCATGAAGAAAACTTATCCCATTTAATCCTCACAAAATGGTAAGATAACAACATCTTATAACTAAACCCTCTTAATCCCCCCAACATGGAAGGTCATTCACCCATACCTTCATTTCCTCCTTCAATATACCTTAGATTTAGTGACTTATCCAATCCAGTCCAATACTACTCACAAAACATGGCCTTAATGTACTTGACTTCATCCTTGACATTTTATCATGTATTATTTAGAACAAATTTAGTGTTCTCAATAGGAATCACATTTTGCACCACTGATGGCATGTGCGTGCTTCCATGTGTGGGTGTGTGTGATTGCAAGAGATTTCAATACTTTGATAGAGTGGTTATCTCAAATTTCAATTATGTCATCTTAGATGGAGTATATAAGAACTCAATGCAAACCAAAGGATGGCAAGCTCCTTGCTATTGGTCACTCGATGGGGGGTATCTTGCTATATGCCATGCTCTCAAAGTGCTGTAAGTTGCCAAGCTAAACTTTCTCCAACTTGAGGCCCAAAAAACATGTCTTCAATTTTTTAACTTCATTTGCATGTTTCTCACATGGAACAATCAATGAACTTTCCTTTTCATTATTGTTTAGAAGGTTCTTACAATGTCCCTTCTTGTACACTAAAATTACTACTTTTCTCTTTAGCTGCTCAAGGACGAGATTCTGGGTTGGTATCAGTTGCTACTTTGGGATCATCACTTGACTACACACGGTCAAGATCATCACTTAAGTTATTTTTACCTCTGGCAAGTTATATGAAAGACAAATCTCTTACCATTCACTATGATAGCTGCATGCTTGTGGAACAAAAATATGATGAGGATACTTTATCTTACTGTTGTATTCAGGCAGACCCTGCACAGGTTCTAAATGTTCCTGTTCCGTTTGGCGCATTAGTTGCTGCTGTGCATCATCTTGCAACTCGAACTCATGTTTTGTCTTGGTTGAAGCCTCAAATTTCTGCTCAAGACATGCAACCAGAATTGTATGAAAAGCTTGTTTTAAACAACTTTTGTAAGTCAACATACACTGACATATTGCTGAGTATATGCTTCCGAGCATTCAGAACTGCATTGGTAAAATATGCTTATAATTGATTGGTCATTCATACTAATGATTGGATGGTCAGAAACAACCTTCACGAGCTCTGCTAAGCATGGCAGTATACACTTTGATGGCAAAATAGGTAGGCTTATATTGGCTCAAATTGCCATATACCCAATAACAGGGTGAGCTAGCTGTGCAGCTGCAATTTGTGGATCCTGTCAGAAAACCCCTTGGGTTTCTTGTACTTATGTTCACTTGTTCAATGGTCTTTCCTTTCTGCCCAATCTATGAGCTGTTTAGGATTTTTCTTTTTAGCTAATGTCAACAATACTAATTAATCTCTCTTTGGACTTGTTTTGCCATGATGTTGTACTGTCAGCATTTCTATAATTTTGGACCAGCATGTAATTGTCAATGTGATCATATTCTGCAGGTACCGTGCCTACTAAGCTTCTCTTGCAGCTAGCAACAGCCTTCCAGGAGGGTGGTTTATGTGACAGGAGTCGAACTTTCTTTTACAAGGATCACCTATGCAACAGCAATGTCCCTATATTAGCCCTTGGAGGAGATCAAGACCTAATATGTCCTCTTGAAGCTATTTATGGTAGAATGTTAATTCATTTGATCCTGCTGTCTTTAATAGACTCAATCCTGTAAACTAATTTCCTCTTTTCTTCCCCCTCCATATCATCAATGGGCATGATAGAAACAGTGAAGATCATTCCTGAGAAATTGGTTACTTTCAAAGTTCTTGGAGAAGCCGGTGGTCCTCATTATGCGCACTACGATTTAGTAGGAGGTCGCTTGGTACGAGTGATATGCCCCTTTATTCATTGGAAGATAGATTTCTAATCTAATTACACCATTTTGATTAATTAATTTTGTATTATCGATGTGTTGCTTTGACGGTTGTTCCTTTTTCACGTTCCATATTTAATGCAGGCAGTAGAGACAGTATATCCACACATTATTGAATTTCTCAATCGCCATGACAGGACCTGATTTCTTCATCTTATGTTCTGTATGTGACCCGAAGGTCCTGAAGCTTTAAGCGCTTTGTTTTGTTCCAAAAGATAAGGCATCCAAATGAAGATACCTCCAAAGGGAAATTAAAATCATGGCCGATGTGCATGGCATGCGAGGGGTAGAGTTTAAAGTAGCCTTCGCTTGTGCAATTATGTTATATATCATGTTTCGTTATGTACATAGTTGTAAAGGAAATGCCGTATATGAACAGAGCCAAAATGAAACTTTAAAAGTCAGTGTTGAAAGATGCAAGTTACGAGTAGATGTTAGTTCTTAGAATGCTTGCAGTTTTACCATTAGAATATGCTTCCTTATGGCAAAGAGAAATCTTTCTTGAGAAAAAAGCGATATTAATTATTCAAAGCAAAACGAGTACAGAACAGGGCAAAGAGAACTTATAAGCAAGCTTTCCTGAGGCTGCTTTTCATCGATGGAAAATTTTGCAGATAACTTGTGAATTTTCCGAAACCCCGAAAAACAAACTGATATTATCATTTGTATTGGAAAAAACAATGATTTGTGTCGAGATAAACTTCTTTCCAAACCACAGAGTAGGAAGGAAACATAGCATCCCATTCCATCAGAAAACTAATTATTTTATGTGCGTAACAGATTCTGGAAAATTTGTGCTACTAAAACAAGTTAAGTTCCACTGCATGCCAAAACCTTAATCGTAATACGCAGTAGTGAATTGTTCGACACAGCAAGTAAACCCGATGAATTTTTTAAAATCATGAGACATACTTCCGTTTGAAACCAGCAGAGCCATTTCCCATTTCCTTTTTTTGGGGTATATGGCTTACTGCATTGATATTTCACCCACAAATCGTATAAACAAAGAAAGCGTTCACTGTATGGTAACACCATTATATTGCATTTCAAGCAATCTATAAATTCATAGGCAGGAAAAACCACATAACAAGTACAATTATAAGAAACATTTTTGAGATTGTAGTGATCACTATTCAATTCCATAACACTGAAACACCAAAATACAAAGAGGCTCAAGATTTCAAAATAAGCAAATAAAGTTGAACCTTCAAACCAAAGAATGAATACTTGCTCATGTATTGAAGCAGATGAAATCTATACACCAAGGGAGAAAGGCAATGAAAGGATACTAAGAGTTCACAAGTCTTAGCATCTAGATATTGCTTCAACCTTACAAAAAGGGCAAGTATTCTTTTGTGCAAGCCACTGTTTTATACATTGTAAGTGGAAGTTATGTCCACAATGCAGGCTGCCCAGATCATCTGCTACTTCATACTCCTCCTGTCAGCATTGAGAATTTCAAAATAAGAAAATAAAGATCTGAAAAGGGATGAAGAATTCAAAGTAATAAGTTACAAACTCACTTGACAAATGATGCATTTCCTATCAACTTGCCCCGATGAATGTGGTGACAGATCACTCAACATTGAAAGCTTAATCTTTCGAAGGCAGCAGCTTATTTCATGTTCTTTTAATCCAGTACTCACATGACCAATTCTATCACCTAACTCGAGCAGCTCCTGTTATCCGCAAAAGAGAAAACAAAAAATATGAAAGCATGTAGATAAGAAATGCAGGCATTACCAACTTTAGGTAGCCAAGAACGTATTCAAATTTCAAGATAAAAAAACGAATTGGTATGAGAACAATTACCTCGTATGACATGTTATCAACATCAAGTCTCCAGTCCCTAAATCGATCAAGTCTTCCACCCATTAGAAGACTACTTTGAAACAGCATAATCTGCAACCAACAGAGCGTCAAGCACACCGAATGTAAATCTGAAATTTAACAAAATTCCTAAACTCCATTCATGTAATGAAATATCCCTCAGACATCAATGCTGCAAGTTGAATAGATTGCTTGCCGCGCCAAAGCTAGGAAAGCAGAGTTTTTATATTGAACAGTGGCATAGTGTTTACTAAAACAATTTTTAGTACCAAACCAAATCAAGTGAGAGACAGAGTGAGCAAGGGCAAGAGTAAAAAGCACCTCTGCAAGGCCTTCAGGGGATGGATGCCGAACATGCCGATAACACCTACCTCCAAAGACCTCTGATTCAGGGCGGCTCGTGACAAAATCAGGTTCAGAATCCAGAAACGAGACAGTTTCAGGGCTCACAGTTCGCCTTGCTAAACAAGGACGCTGCAAACAAAATTGATCAACAAAGTAGTTTAATTAAAACAAACCCAATGTGAAGCACATTATACAAGCGGATAAAATATGTTGATATCTTATTTCAGTGTCATATATTCAATAGGAAATTTTATAAATAAATAAAAAGACTAATACATTTAACGGAGAAGATAATAGAATTTCCAACCCTAACCAACGCTGAGAAGATTAACACAGCTAATTAATATATATCCTGTTTCGTGTGGGGTCCTAAACTTGGAGATAACGAGTCGTATCTACGCAAATTAATAAGTGCACTTATTAGTGAGAAAATCAAAAACTATAATTCAAGGAAACTTTTGAGTACCCAATGAAAATCATAAAACCAAACAGAGAAATCAAAAGTTAAGTAGCCAATGATACCAAAACACTCATAAACTGAAACACACTATGGAGCGAATGAAGTGAAAACTAAAAAGGCCCACAAAAGTTAGAAATATTAAGAGAAAATTCAAGACCCATGAAACACAAAACAAAACAGAAACTTTAAGATTTTCGGCTTAAATACAATCCTAGTATTGAATTAATGCATCAAAGTTCACAGATACAAACATAAACTTCAGCCAACAATCAAAAGAAGCATACCCTCATCAAGCACCAAATAGCCACAAAACCCTCAACCATGTTCCACAACAACAAAGAAACTGCCAAAAACCTAGTAATCCCACCGATAAAATTAAAAAATTCGAGTTAAAGCGCAACATAGAAATGGCACAAATTCAAAGCATTCCCAGCCATAGAACAAATATATTAATAGCAAAATCAAAACTTACCTCCCTGTGGCTGCTCAGTTTATCCCCATCAATCTTGCCTCTACCAGAGACATTCCTCCTAGCCACAACACAATCCACAGAACCAGCAGTTTCTGCTGAGAACCCAATTCCAGGACCGCACCAGACATCTTGAAAATCCATACAAGTTGCAGAATTTAAACCAAAGCTAGGCCCATCAACCGCTCCTTGGTGCTGGGTCTTATCCTTGTATTCATTCTTGTCATTTCTTGTATTGTTCTTGGTGTTGATATTCTTCTTTTGTTTTTTCTTCTTTACCTTCTTTCCTTGCCAATCAGCGGAGTTCCGAATCACTGCTGGAACTGAGACTTGTTGTGACGCAGAGGCTGCACAACCCAAGCCTCTGAATGTTGATGAGGAAAAGTTTGTCTTTTTCTTGTTGAGGCTTGTGGGTAAGGTTTCGTTGGTGTTGGTGGTGAAGCTGGAGAGGAGGAGAGAGGAGATGGTGGATTTGCATCGAGTAGATTGGATAATGGAGGGAGTTGGATCTGCATCTGAAATGGGTTGGCTGAATTGGCTTCTGGGTCTTCTCCATTTGTTGTGCTCTGCCATTGTTGTTGAGCTCTCCGTGACAACAGGCATGGTGCCTAGAGAGAGAGACGAAGTAACTTTGGTTTGGTTTGGTTTGGTTTGGTTTTGAGAGAGAGAATAATGAAATGCCAAGGAAATTGAGTGAAGTTTAGAGACGGTGATAGAGGTGGAGACTATTTTAGTGGAGAGAGAGAATATAGAATAGATATTTGATTTTACTTTTTCAGTTTTATATATATATATAATTTGGATTTGTTTAGAGAGAGATGAGTTTTTTTTAAATCGTGGAAGTGCTTCTTTTTATGGGTTGGTTGGGTGGGTTATGCTTTGTCTTCTTGTTGGAGTGAGAAGGGTATATGCTAATGCCATCAAACACTGCAGACAAAGAGGCTCTGGGAATCTCAGTAAATTGCAACTTTTGCTTTCTTTTCTTTCGCTTTTTGAACCCGCTGCGGTGCTTACTTATCAGAACCAAAAAATAAAACGGGTCAGTTTGTGCATAGAACCAAAACGAAAGACGAAATTGTATTTGAATTTTAATGGATCTGTGTCTCCTTGTGCAGTGGTTTGAGGCTTGGAGACAGAGACAGCAGAAAATGTAGTCTACACATATGTCAGTCACATCCGTGGTTACTGTGGCCAGCATTTGAAAGGGTCCCACTGAGAAATCACGAGGTCAAAATTCATCCCTTCACTTCACTTTACACCAAGGATTACATATTTTCTTAATAATATCCAGGCTTGGCATGTAGCACAGAGTTTAGTCTTTAAGGCCAAAATAGTTGCAATCATGTGAGAGAAGGCCCAGCTTTGACTGAAAGCTTGAGCTTGAAGGGATGTTTTCAATTTTCAGTGTCAAGCATCCCGTTCATAATCATGGTGACTAATAATCATATATTAATATCACCCTCCTCAGTCATATGTGCTGTAAATGAGGATGTTCAGTCTGGAAATTGACTCAGATGTCTATTCAACTTACGTATCACATGAAAAACGCAACACTGCATTTACCAAACTCACCCCTGCAATCTACTGAATTTTCTGTTTAGTTTTCTTTTTTTTTCTTTTCTTTTTGTTGCTTTCCAGTACATTTACATGTAAATTATAGTGCTGTTTTATTTATGTACTTTAAAATGGCTCTTCCATGACAAAAGAAAATGATTCAAACTTCCAGACTAGGACTGGCTAATGAAATGTGTCACTGAAGAGGTAGAGAGGTCATCCATGGTTATGGTTGGTTGACAGCTTCTTCAGCTTCTTCAGGGCTCAAAATAAAAGAGACACCAATAACATAACATGTGTATTATTGAATCAACATTTAAAATAAGTAGGTGCACAAGTAGAACATTCTGACAGGAGGGACTGAGGAAGCAAGCAAAGCAAAGCAACCAAATCAATCAAGTAAGCCAACCAATGAGAATGAGACCTTAATGCCTTCAGCTTTCTACATCCCAAAAGAGCATTCTATTGAAATAGTCTATTATAATTCTGGGTCGTCAAAACTTCCCTTCCCAACTGGATTTACTTTAACTTCACTTATCACTTATCACAGTTTTCATCGCTGCCCAGGAGCCATGTACTTGTATTTATTTATTAGAAAGAATGTTGAGTGGACTGTGGAGGGATCCCTAAGCAATATTTAAGTCCATTCTCTTTTTTCTTTTTGATAATTTCTAAGGAATCTTAGAATTACAAGTCCGTGACTCTACCGGTTATAATTTATAAATAAACTGATTTAGAAAGTTCATTACGGATGCTCTAATGTCTTTAATTTTTCATCCTCTGTCGCTGATATCTTAACTAAATTAATCAATTAGTCAATATGATCATTGATTTTTATTGGCATTGTCTGGCTGGCTGGCATTCTAAAACAATTCAAGGCGTCTGTCTGTCTAATTTTCCTGGTTTTTATTTTTGTTTGCATTCATCAACTCAACAGTGCTGATTATACAATTGCAAATGAAAAAGCGACGAAATGAGGCTTACCATTTGTCAAGCATATCGCCACAAATTACGGGTTAAAGGTTTTGCTTTCATTATTTTGCTTTTGGTTTGGGACAGACAATATTAAGCTTTTCACAGTTATTCCTTGCAATTTGCAAAGCAGATTTAAAAATAAAAATAAAAAAAATCATTCTTCTGTCTTTATTTAATCATGATTATACATAAAAATTGTGACAATCCTATCTTCTTTCACGATCTGTCTTAAGACAAAGTAGAATATTTTAAGCAAAAAACTTCTACTTATTTGTGTAATTGCTTGCAAACCATTCCCATTCAGCAAATTCAAACACTTTTTAAAAATAAAATAAAAAATATTATATTAAATATCTTGCATTATATTATTTTTCCTCATTGAAAAACGGTGGGGTTTGCTTGCTGAGCAGAGTAAAGTAAATAATACTAAAACAAAAGCACAAGACAAGAGTAGAAGCAAAGAAAAGTCAATTGTCAAACTAGTAATCGGCTTTTAAGGAAAAAGCACAGTCCTCCTCACTCATCTCATCTCATCTCATCTCATCACTGCTTGCTTTTCTTTTTTGATTGGTGATTACGCGCATATCTATATTAATTATTTATTTATTTATTATAAACCATTTACATTGTGGTGTAGTTGCTAGTTCAATCACAAAAAATAAAAAATAAAAAAAAATAGTTAACTATCTAAATCATTTCTAAGAGAATGATTATCATAAACAATTGTTTATTAAGCATGGAGATTGAACATGCATTTGTCCTATACATTTTAGTCCTAATTCCCCAAGAATTGGCAATTTGCATGTCACAAATTCATTAAACAATCCCTGCTTAATGTCCCTCACCACCTTTTAATATTAAGATGATGTCTTTGTCATGTGAACTAAATAGATGATAGTGAGCTCATGCCACATTGATTACAAGATATTAAACTAGAAAATTCGCAGACTTTTTTTTTAATTTTATTTTTATAATCGTGATAAAGACTCGAGAGTTGAGAATGTTTTTGGAAATTATACGTGCTACAAATGAGGTGTTTGTGTTGAGAAAAATGGAATATGTGCCCCAATTTTACCTACAAATAAGAAACAAAAGCCCAATATTATGACCCAACTCTCCTCTCCCACTCCCACTTGATTTGGGCCTGAGTTCAATCCGCCGATAAAATCAGCATTTGCCCGTTTAAACCCTACGCACGCAGACCCGAAAGAAGCAAAAACCCTAAGAAGAAAAACGATGAAACGACTTCTGCTTAGAAATCTCCGTCTCTACGCTCGTACTCGTCTTCTCTCTCCTCCCTGCTACAATCCGGGCCCTAGATCCCAACTCGCTCCACTCGCTGCTTCGACTCGGCCCAGACTTCGCTTCTACTCGACCGAGTCTCCATCGCACAACCAAGAGGATGATGTCAGTAACGAAGGTATGAAAATGTTGTAAGAAATATAAATTTGGGGTTTCAGTCGGTTACAGGCCCTTCTTGGTTGCTCAGAACTTGTTATCTGCATTTTTCTATGAAATTTGGTTTGGAAAAAAATGACAATTGCATCCTGTTTGATTCAGTTCAGCTGCTATTTTTTGCTTTGTGTTTTGATCACTTGCAGTCTGCATCATCCATGGCATTGGCATGGCTTGCAAAACAGTTGGAATTTGTTGATTTGTGGGATTGTTAGGGTTGAGGGTTTGATTTTGATTATTTGGGGGTTTATCATTTTGAATCTGCAATGTGATGTTTGTATGTTTTGGTTTCAGAGCTGAAAATGCAAATTGACAAGTATTTTCGAGGGGATGAGGAGGCCATACCATCAATCTTTGAAGCAATTTTGAAGAGGAAGTTGACGGGGAAGCATGAAGAGGATGATGAAAAGCTCATGGAAGAAATTCCGGGGAAGAGGCAGGAGGAGCCACTGAGTGACATAGATGACGAACAAGAGACTAAATCTGATTTTGATGAAGGCTCTGAAAGTGATGGGTGATGAAAGCCAAATCCACGCTATTTCGCCAAAACAACAAAGGCAGACATTTACCCTATATAAGGATTTGAGTAAATTGGAGGAGTCAAGAGCTCACAGTCACAGGCCTTGTAACAAACAAGCTCTCTAGTTTTCAAATAGGAGCAGTTAATTTCTATCTTGATAGTCAGTCAGTCCTACACCCCTTAACGCTGTTAGAAACAAACTGTTTGTGGAAGAAGTTCATGTGGTGTGGTGCGGATGTTTCCTTCATGTGGTGTGGGTGGGTGGAAGAAGTTCAAGGGCTTTACTAATGCAGAAGAAAGTGACCCTAAACCCATTGACGTTAAGCTTAACATTTTGTTGTGTGTGCTGTGCATTCAGAAAAGCCGACTTGAATGCTTCCCATCCTCTGTTCTTGATTTAGTGTGAAGACTGAAGATATTAGCGTGCTCCTCCTCTTTGCTTATTGTATATTCCAAAATTACTTTATTCATATCCTTTAAATGATCGATTCGAACCCTCCAGTTGGGAGTATTTGGATTAAAATTGCATTTTCAGGAAGGAAAAGGATGAATGTTTGCGAGGCCAGCATCTCCCCGAACTCCCATTAACAGATGAGTAGAATTCACAACTTGAGCAATTTTTGACATGTTCTTGTCAGGCTCTACAACAGTTGCCTTGCAGCCAAAGTTTGTAGCCATTTTAACGAGGCTTTTTCTCCTGGATTCGGGAGAGCGACCATCTCTGGTTCGGATTGCATTAGCTCTGTTTTAGTGAATCAGTGTTTCTTAACAACTCTCTCAAGATGAAAGAATAAAAACCGAGTCGGGACGACTTGTAAAACTGCTGAGAGAGAGCTTTTTGGTCGCTCTACTGTTGCAGCATCTCACTTCAAACCAACACCTACTCACAGCTGCTGCAACTTCACTTCAATGTTTCTTAACACTGGAAGATGATGATCAAAACCCAATCCAAAAAAGTCATTATATGAAATACTTTTGGTTCATTTGGATGAATACAAGACTGTTTCTGGAATGGTAATTATTTGCACCTACCAACTTATCATGGAAGAAAGATAGATTAATAAATATTCAAAAAACTAATAAATAAATAAATAAATAAATAACCCGCACCTTTGCAGTTCGACCAAAAAACCAAAAAAGACAACAACATTTTGAAGCACCCGAAATGACAGCAAGCAGGCAAAGCATAAAACCCCTTCTGAAACCCAAAAACTGAACCTTTAATAAACCCTAGAGAGTGAATTAGAGAACCATGAGACGTACTCTATTGAATAATGTCTCTCTCTACGCTCGCAATCGCCTTCTCTCCCCTCCAACCTGCAACCCTAATCCTTGCTCCTCACTCGTCCCACTCGCCGCTTCGACTCGGTCCCTACTCAGGCTTTTCTCGTCCGAAGACGACTCTTCCGCTGGAAGCTCCAATCCGTCTGCTGATTCGAGCGTGATCCCAACCAACAAGAAAGATGCCTCCGTTGAAGTCCAGGACGTCAATAACAAAGGTTACCCACCAATATATATTTATATATTTATATATTTTTCAAGTTTTCAATTACCTTCAAGCTTGACCCTCTGTCTGTTTGAGTACTGAGAGAATGACCTCTGTTTGAGTGCTGGGAGAATGAAAGGAGATATAAAATAAACTTGAAATTTTTAATATTTTCAAATTTTGGGTTTCCGGTCCGTAATGTTCACAAAGGAAATGAGACTATTTGAATGTTTTGGCTAATAAGATTTCAGGTTTGGTGTGAGGGGGGACAAAGTTGTTAAATTTCAAGTGATATTTGGGATTTTTCTTCTTCTTCTTCTATTGCGTCCTAATTATTTTCAGTTTGTTATTTCCCTTTCAAATTTGTAGAGATAACAACGATTTCAGTTTTGCTATTTTCTTTCTAATTTTCCTTTTGGTTTAATAGAGCTGAAAGTGCGGATAGAGAAATACTTTAAGGGTGATGAGGAGGCGCTTCCGGCGATCCTAGAAGCGATTCTGCAGAGGAAATTGGCTGAGAAGCATGAGGAAACAGATGATGAGCTCATAGATGAACTGCAAATGAAGCCGCTGGATAATATTAAGGACCAAGAGTTTGAATCAGATTTTGAGGAAATTCATGACACGGATGAAGAGATTGAAAACTTGTATAACGCAAGGGATATAGTCATGAACAGGATGGTAAAAGATGAGTACTACAACATGGATGAGAATAAGTGGAATGATATTGTTGAGGATGCAATTCATCATGGGATTATGAAGGATACGAAAGAGTGGGGGGCAATTCTTGAGGATATGCTTAGCTGGGATAAGCTACTGCCAGGTATACATTTCTAGTCATTCCATTTTGTACGATGCTTTGTTTTCTACCAAGAACACTTCCCTATTTGAAATGCTGTGTTTGTGTGTTAACCTTTCTGTATGTTTCGGCATCTCTGCCTACTCTGTTAAAATAAATCATTTTTATCTATTTTGACATTATTGAAATAGTTGTCTTTTTTTAGTATCATTACATGGCTAGATGTTTCCCAAAGTCTAATTTTCTGAGCGCCCAATCTTTAGTTGTCAAGTATTTTCTTTGTTTCCTACACAGACAGGTATCGTATCAAATTGGTTCAATGTCATGGAAGTTGCATTTTTTGATTCAAACTGGTATTTTTCTAATAATCTGTAATGCAATTGTCTTCTCCAGATGACATGAAAAGGAAGGTTGAAAAGAAGTTCAATGACCTAGGAGACATGTGTGAAAGAGGGGAACTTGAGCCTGAAGAAGCTTACAAGTTGTTTAAGGAGTTTGAGGATGAGATTGTCATGGAATATGTGCAGAAGATGGAAGCCGATGGCCCCCCAAAATTTGATGAGACTGCTGTACCGGACGAGAAAAAGGATCTAGATGACCCTCCAGGCGAAGGGCCAATCCTTAGGTGGCAAACACGGGTAGTCTTTGCTCCTGGCGGTGATGCGTGGCATCCCAAGAATAGAAAAGTGAAACTGTCTGTCACAGTGAAAGAACTTGGGCTTTCAAAGCATCAATTCCGTCGGCTCAGAGAATTGGTTGGAAAGCGGTACAATCCAGGGAAAGATGAGCTTACAATTACTAGTGAGAGGTAGGTCAACAGCATGCCCCCTTTCTCTATTATTAATTTTATTATTATTTGAAGTACTTAGGCTGGTTAGTAGTTGTTTAAATTTCAGAGTTTCTGTTCTTATATGCCCTACATGATATTGATGATTCTGCATTTTATTACTAAAACTGAACTAGCTTTTCCCGAATCTCTTTTGAGTTGGAGACATCTAGTCCACAACCTTGAATGTTGCACTATTTTTTCTTCCCTCCTTCCCATACTCCTGTAGCACAAAAAGAAAATATTAGTTATAGACCTTGCAGAATGTATGAGAAGATTCTTTTGTTATGTCTTGCTCGGACCTTGACTATTTCGCTTGCCTTGGAAGTGCTTGAAAATTGTTATGTGCAGTAACTTAGTCGACATCAGTTTATACATCTAAGATGTCTTATTTAAATAGGAAACAAAGTTTATCCACCCAAGTTTATGTAATTAGAGTGAAAGAAGTAATAGGTATATCAACATATAGTACTGCACATTCTTCCTTTCATTACAACATCTTATAGAGATTGAAACGTTTGTTTTTTGTTATTTATGTTTTGTTTTCTTTGCGAAGGAAAATAATCTCTCTCTCTCTCTCTCTCTCTTGTGAAGGTTTGAACACCGAGAAGAAAATAGAAAGGATTGCCTTAGGACTCTTCTTTCCCTCATCGAGGAAGCTGGGAAAGCTAACAAACTGGCTGAGGATGCTCGAGTTTCATATGTCAAGGAGAGATTAAGAGCAAATCCTGCATTCATGGAGAGGCTGCGTAACAAGACCATGGGATTGCAAGGAAAGAGCACAGTGCCTGCTTGAGATTTTGATTTCCAGCAGCCTGTTGAAAAATAAGTTTCCAGGTCTGGCATGACATTTTCAGGACATTCGGCTGTTTAAATTGGTTAACCCTCACTGCAAGATAATTATTTACAATAGAAAATATTCTCCCAATGCATATTTCATGAATGCATTGCATTGGTAGCTTTTTCTAGTTGCTAATGTTGGCAGCCAATTGTCTTTACCTTATACCCTGTGAAAATTTCATTTGGAGCCTTGTTGTTCTGAAGTTCATGTGCTATGCCTTTGAAGATCATTTTTGCTGAGTGAGATCTTTCAATGTATTAGTTTAAGTTATCCTTGATAAGGTGTTATAACTAACAAGATCATTAACGCTATATTGATGTTATTTAATCGATGCAATTACTTGTTAGAGACTCAAATTTGCTCTCAAGTCTGCTATGAACATTTGTTTAGCCAATATTCTCGCTGCCTTTTCAACTTACTTAATCCAGAGATGAAGAATTCTTCCGAGTTTTTTCTCCGTGTGTTGGTTTCCAGGTTTTACTGGTTACAAAAAGCTGTGTCCAAGCGAAACTGACAATAGTGGGCTGCATGCACTACTCTGAAATGCAGTGAACAGGTCACCTTAAGATTTTGAATTATGCTTTGCTTACACCAAGCAAACTGATTATTCAATGCTTTGAATCTGATTCTTTCAAGCGAATAGGGGCGGTGGACTTATAAATACTTGAAAAAGTTAAAGGGTCATTGCTTTGATAGTCTGTTGAACCATCAGAGGCTTGTGAAGGGTTTTGCCTTTTCTTTTTCCTGCTAAGGCAGTTGCCCTTTATTTTCCCCCGTTCTTTTTTGGATAATCCAAGGCATAGTTGGTCCTTGACGAATCTAGCATTGCGAAAGTCGTCTCGGGCATAAGTGGTCTAGGAAGAGGATAAAAAGTGAAAAACATGTACAGAAGTAGTAGAAGATAAAAAAATACCAAACAGCAAGTTGATAACCTTACAAAGAATAGCAGCATGCTTTCCAAGGAAGATAGGTCACCAATGTTTATAGCCACATATACAGCATCTAAGGTCGCAATATGTGGATCGACCTTAAAAAGATTGAACTATCTAACACGCACTGCAGCACCATAAGGAGAACGGTGGACGGAAAACTGGTCCTTAATTTGAGAGAGAAACAAATCAGATGAAGCAATATGGATATTGCAAGACCTTCCAATTCTTGTTCTGTTTCTAGTTACATTTCTTCTCAGGGGAGAAATTCTAAATGGTGTGAGAAAGCCACAGAGTTTCTCTGCAGTGCCTGCTTGCTGTGCATTTCGTGCCCATTAGCCGTTGTCTGGTGTTGCATCAAGGTTCCGTGCAAGGTCGGATGGCATGCCGCGCAGCATGCAAGGCACTGTGCTTGTGGATCAGAGAAGAGAGTTTATGCATCCTATTCTTCATTTTCTGACATTGACTTGGATATTCTGCCTGGTAAGGCTCATGGCACATGCTCCACAACATTGAAAGCTCCTTGGCAACGTAAGAAGTCTGCAGCAAACAAAACCTTAAACTAAAACCTGGTTTTAATATATTCCTTTGTTTCAGTTATCGGAAATATTATATACAGGTTCCATTATTGCTTGTCTTCTGATTTTGAATGTGATGTAAAACATTTTGTACTCATATCTAGATTCTGCACTATGTGGAGGAAAACTTCCTTTACACTTTGCTTCATCAACCCCCTTTCCCTGTCATGGCTTGCATCATGGTGTAGGGAGATTTTAACAGGCATTAAAAGTTTGGGTAGCATAAAAACAGACCTTTTGAATGGTTTGGTCACATAGACAGTGATGACGGTAAAAGAAAATTGGATCAGAAACCTTTGTGTTCCACCTGTAATTTCAATTTCAACTTGCACTAGAAGAGAGACTTGACACAACTGTCACACTACAACAGCTTAAAACAATGATAAGGAACAAGTTCATGTGTTCGATTAACCCAAAAAACACATATATTATATATACATTGTCAAGAATGGGATTCGAACCCATGCCCTTTCGGACCAGTACCTGAAACTGGCGCCTTAGACCAACTCGGCCATCTTGACGTTGTTGTACCTTTTCTCCCACGTTTTATTTTTATAACTGCTTAACCAGGAGTTCCATTTTCATTTTGAACCATGAACAAACGCACACCTAAAGAAATCTTTTTTGGATAACACATGTCCTGTAGCCATCGATGCATTGTTGTTATGGAAGATGTACCCCAACCCCAACCCCACCATAATTTTAGTCTTTCTTACTTAATTTAATTAAAAACAATATGCCTTATTGTTGCAATAATGTGCATATTCATATTCATCATCATTCATTGCTGGATTAGTGTTAGCAGCGAAGGCGCACCTCCTCAGTGTGTGGTTGTGAAAGGCACACGCACATCGGATATGAAAATGAAAAGAAGAAAAAGAGGGAGAGCATGTAGCTTTGAAATTCTTAGATAGATGAATCAAGGTGCTCCTCCACTTTTACAATCAAGGTGCTCCTCCACTTTTACAATTCTTGGAGGAAATGTGTTACAATGGCATAATCAACCACAGCATATAATTAGTCAAATGATTGATACAAATAATAGTTGAATGGGAAGTGAAATCTATTGTTTGTCTAATTAGTTTTGGAATTTGCAATAAACCTCATCATATTCATTTTGAGGATTTGTGTAATTAAGTGTGTCTCTCCCTCCTTACTCTTAGAGCTTGCTTCATGCACCACATGCAGCACCACACTCGGCAGCGCACCCGCCGCCATAAAGCTCTGTGTCACCTGCTGTGTTCTTCCCTTTGGAAGACACACCATCTGCGCAGGAGAAAACTATGACTGAGACAAGACAGAGGCTGACCAAAGCTGCCCAAAACACTAACCAATTGGCAGTGGCGACACCACCATCCACACTACCAATCTCTCTCCATACTCTCAACATCTAATCACTTTCACTTACCTCTCTCTCTCTCTCTCTCTGTGTAGATTTAATTAAGTCCCTGAATGAAAGTGGTAGCACTCTATTGGCATTATATATAGGCTTCTTTGTTTATTATATTGTTGTTCTAAAGTCAATAATATTCCAACTAGAATGATTTGTTAGTGGGATCTTTGTGTGTGTCTACTTTTGGGCTTTACTTGATTCTCCTAATTGCTGTTGCAGTACTAAAACTGGCAGGCAAAGCAGAGTTTGACATGAAGATGAGTGGGAGGTCAACACAGCCACTACAAATTGTGATGGGTTGTTGGGGTTGCATTCACATCCCACTCTTCCTTCCTTGTCATCAATCATGATATATATTAATATATTATATATATATATATATATGTGTGTGTGTGTGTGTGGATGAGGAGGAGGAGGAGGAGGAGGATGGAAGCTAATATGACAGTTAAATTGCCACTAGGGAGAGTGACAGCCAAATCGTTGTTTGTTGTTGTGCACTGTCTGTGCTCTCACCACTTCCAGGGGAAAGGCAGGGGAAGGGAATCATCAAATATGGGCATCATCTCGCAATAATGTAGAATAATAATTTTTAAGAGTAGTAGATAGATTGATAAATATACCCTTTCTGAGATTTTGACCTGGGACGGTTACAACCAGTCCAAACGCATGCAGTAATCTCATTTGGCTTTATGCAATGCAGTGCAGTGCAACCATTTCACATATGCTAAGGAGATCAAGTAACCAAGGTTGAGTTTGTTGTACAATTAATACTATACATATATATTATATACAGGTAGGTTGTCTTTTTATTTACACAAATCTTCACATAATTATTTCAACGCGTGTGCAAGGCAAACGACTCTCGGGCAATTTTGACACCAAGGCGAGTAACGTCATCCTCAAATCGCTCAAACAGAAGTGGCAGTAGTATTCCCAAGTAGATGAATCCTTAATTTGGAAAAGAGAGTCATAAATATCATACACATTAATAATACGATGGATGATGATGATAATATATATAAATATAGCAAATAATTTCTTACGTATGCATACCCAAGTACAGAAGATTCAGAGAGCTGAGATAGGTTCCAATCACAGGCAACATATAGAGAAAAATAATTGCCTGAAAATAAATCAGTAGAGGGAGAAGGATCTTTAGCACTGTGTACATACTTCAAATGACCTAATTTTAAAGGGAAATTAATTAGTTGAAAAATTTAACTTCAACAAGGGTATACCAACAAGAAGAATGGTAGGTCTCTTCCAAATGCACTGTCAAGGTAGTTGAATATTTTACGGATATCAGAAGAAAACTCTTCGAATGTAAGATCATGATCAGCACGTACGTTACTTCGAAAGGATGGAATAATCGCTGATGAGAAGACAATCTCCAAAAAAAATTTGACTAATTGTAATATGAAGATTATGAGCAGTGTGGTAATGGAGAGGTGGTAGAGGAGGATCACCCAGTTGTACTCGACTACCCCGAAAATAAACCATATCACCGTCATCCCAATCAAAAGCGCAGCGGATACACTTGTGTTCCTCCACAGTAACACATCCGCAACTGCATGCAAATTTAATTACTCACCTTACAAGGTCATTCAAATTAAGGCCAATTCATTCCTAGCAGCACATCATAATTAAACACATGTCTACTTTGGACAAATTTTCCTGCCTTTGACATTTCTTACATGAACAAAGGGAAACTCTGGTTAAAACTGGACTAAATCCAAAACCCATTTTCTTCGCTGGTTGGTTGGTTGGTGTGTGTGTGACAAAAGATATATATATATATATATATATATAATATAGCACAAGACTTGAGCAAGGCAATGAATGAGATTAATTATGAATTAGGAGTTTTCACATTGATGCAAGTATATATAAATTTATGAAGATCATAAGCTCCCTATATTATAACGTTACCTTTTCCACCTCCAAGAACCCGATGAATTATTATTGGCCTTCCAAGTAAGATAGATTGTACAACATCGTCATTAGAATCGGAAGGCATGGTGGATACGTTCTAAAATATTATTAAACTTGATTATTTGTATGAATTAATGCCTTAATTGAATAGTTGATATCATATTATCATCACCTATAAATATATGATTCATGTGAAGGAGAGGGAGCGAGGGGTTCTAACTTCTAAGCTTGGTGGCAAAGTATGCTTCTATAAAGTAAGGAATGACTTGCGGGCCTTGGCTTAATTAATCTCAGAGTTGCTTTGCATGCCCGCTTGGCACAATTGTTAAGTAGTATATCTGATCTTGTTTTGAACGACTAGTACTCTTTAATATTCCACCGGTTGTGGTTATTATAATACAAATTTATAAATAAATCAAATCCTAGACATGTATTTATAAAAAAATTTAAGTACTATTTAAACATAGAAACACACCCAAAATCAACCCCAAAGTCAACTTTTTGGGTGTGTTTATAAATGGATTTTGAGTGTGTGTAATGATGGGTTTTAGGTGTGTTTATATGTTTAAATAGTACTTGGATTTTTTTATAATTTGAGCCCCCATTAATTTATATGCCTCTACAAGACTGCAACTGCAAACCTACCTTTTCTTTCCTTTCCTGCCAATATCAGGGTTAATTAAGATCTTACACTATAAGCTTGTAACTCATGTGGTTAACAACAGTTTTCTTAGACTATGAGGTTATGCATTCGTATCCTTCTTCCCTCAATATTTCTCCTCCCTTGGAATGCGGAGTAGGCTACTAGTAAAAAATTCCAACTAGAGCATCCATAAGGAAAGAGACAATAAAAATTCGATCAGTTGGATTCTTGTTGTTCCAATTAAAGAAAAAAAACATCAATGTGACCATCATCATCCATCCTCCTCAGTGACCATCATCATCCATCCTCCTCAATGACTACTTGTTTGATCTACAGTCAAACTGCCCAATCCCAGTTTAATTAGGCTCAAACTCATATCCTCCAATATGGCTTCATTTCATCATTCAATAACATTATCAAGGCCTTAAACTCATTTGACAACCCAACTCATCATCCTAGTTAATTCATCATGATTAGCTAGATTGATATAAATATAAAAAATCTACAAAAAATCTCACAATGCTTTTGATAGGTGCTACTTACTGTAACCGCTTCGAACTATAAAAAATCTAATTCCAAGGACAAAGCACTTGCTTCCATGATTAGATAGATTGATAAATATACCCTTTTTGAGATTGGCTTTTTATCACAAAATGTACATGACGTTTGCGAAACTATTAGATTGCATCATTAAAGTTTTTTTCTATCATTCATAGTCCCTAAAGTTAATATAGGTGCTCTTAAATAGTCGCTCTGTTAAACAAACTGTTAAATCCAAAGATATAATCGTCAAATCAATCCAAAATTATAAAATATTTCTCTCTCCCCTCTTTCTTTTCTATTTCCTTTCCTTCTCTTTTCTCTCTCTCACTGCAACACCAAGAATTGACCTATCTTCAATAATTTCTTGAAGACCCTTATCACCCCACTTGCGCTCTACTCCTGGAAAATGTTTTTGAGCAATCTCAACGGCACCTCTAGCAGATTCCTAGAATCAAACCCAAAAAAACAAAGAAAATGGATTAAATCTTTTAATTCAACGATAAAAAGGAAGACGAAAAAATTGAAGTACCTCTGTACGGCTCCAAATGGATTTAAGGAGGAGGAGCTTAGAGATCTCAGCGAGCCTAGGAATGTATTGGGTCCTCATAAAGGTGCCAGCTCGAAGAATGGCAATCTGGGGTGCCTCTCCCATTTTGAAGAACCCAACTGCACTTCTTGCTTTACTTGTTGCAAAGAGAATACTGAACTCGGGGAGAGGAAGAAAGAAGAAAAAGAGAGAGAGAAGAGAGAAGAGAGAAGGAAAGAAAACAGAAAAGAAAGAGGGGAGAGAGTAATATTTTATAATTTTGAATTGATTTGACGATTATATATCATTGGATTTAACAGTTTTTTTAACAGATGGACTATTTAAGAGCACCTATATTAACGTTAGGGACCATGAGTGATAGAAAAAAACTTTAAGGATGCAATCTGATAGTTTCGCAAACATCAGAGACGTTTTGTGATAAAAAGCCTTTGAGATTTTGACTTGGGACGGCTACTACTAGTCCAAACGTATAGTAATCTATATATAATGGTTTCCCATTAAGAATTTGAACTGAAACGATTTGCCTTTATGAGAACCCACTTACTAGTACATTACAGAATATTAAAAGAATACTTGTCTTGTGGTTTTGGCTTCTGTAAGTTGAAGTAGAAGTTGAACCCAAAAAAGGTATACATGGATTATTAGTCTACAAATTAACAAGTTATATAATTGTTGTGTTTTTCTGTTTAATTATCTCCGCATCGCATTGCGGCTGGCTGGCTGGCTCCAGGACCATGATCGAGCTAGACAGGAGAGGCTGAGGCTTCTGTTGTACACAAATACATTCATGGAAATCTGCAAAGGGCTTCTTCCTTAGTGTCATATATCTAGTCACACACGCTCTTGTTTTAGAATGAATGCAATGCCCAATATTGGACTTGTTGTGCTAGCTATGAGCTCCTCCACACCTAATTAACTTAATGTGTCAATACAATACTACTTTATGTTGTGTTTCTTTCTAGCTATATATGGAATGCAATGCAAGCTTGATAAATATTTTATCTGCTCGATTTGGGACTAGTCATGGCAAGTTTGACCTTTTTCGTACGGTACTCGATTTGGAAACATGTGTTGATCAACCAAGAGAATGGGAATGGGAGCCAACCATTTCAGATATGCCAAAGCCATCAAGTAATTAATTACGTTGAACCAATGTTGATGATATTGTACAGTTTTATATATATATATATACAACTATAATACAATAAAGGTAGTGTTATTTACACAAATATATCTTCACATAATGATTTGAATATGCGTGCAACTCTGGCACACAAACTATGATTCCAAGTCCAGACTCCAGGCCATGCCAATGCCATTCAAAGTTTCATCTGGTTTTCTCTTTCACTGGGCCTCTTGGAATTTTGTTGAGAAACTGAGAATCAAACTTTCCGTACGATCTCTTTATCTCTCTGCTAACTTTTCCAGCTAGGCGATCAACGTCCTCCTCAAATCGCTCATACAGAAATGGCAGTGTTTCCAGGCCGAGAAACCCTTAATTTGCATGCAAATTACAATCAAACAAAAGAGATAGAGCCATAAATCTCATACGTACACTTTAATATATAATATTGTAATGGAATATATACTATGGATGATAACAAACAGATATAACAACTTCTTACCCAAGTAAACAAGATTCAGAAAGCTGAAATAGGCTCCAATCACAGACAAAATATAGAGAGAAATAATTGCCTGAAAATCAGAAGAGAAAGGGAGATCAAACTTAATTGAAAAAGTTGAGTTGAGAGTGAATATGAATTGTTAGATCAAAGTTGAAATACCAAGAAGAAGAATGGTAGGTCTCTTCCACATGCACTGTCAAGAAGCTTTGACAAGAATTGGTTGCATCTTTTGTGGACTATGGAAGCCATCTCTTTGAATGTGGATTCATGTAATATTATACCAGGTATGGTAGGAGGTGTCCTGTACATTAATTAATTCAAAATTACTCAATAAATAAATATAGAAAAATAAAATTAGTGAAAGAGAAGGACCTACAATCTGAACAATTCTGCAGCCGTGCGCCATATGAAGATTACGAGCAATGTGGTGATGGAGAGGTGGCAGACGAGGGTCACAAAATTGTACTCGACTACCTCGAAAAGAAACCATATTACCGTCATCCCAATCAAAAGCGCAGCTGATACATTTCTGTTCCTCCACAATAACACATCCGCAACTGCAAGTTTTATTAATTACTATTTAGTATTAACAACGTCAAGGTCTTAGCACATCATATATCATAGCTAAAGAGACATGTTGGACAAATCCAAAACAGGGCAACTGGATTCAGCATCAAAACTGGTGCGCGCTCTGGACAAAATCCAAAACACATTTTCTTCGCTGAGTAAACACAAATGAGATTGATGCAAGTTTATTATATAAATGAAGATTGATCGTATCGTATATAACATACACTTTTACCTTTTCCACCTCCAAGAACATGATGAATTGACCTTTCACGTCCAAAGAGCTTTGCCCCGAGGCTTGTGCCAATATTGTCATCAGAATCGGATGAATATACGAACCCCCGCATGGTGGATTTTAAGTTGTAAATTAAACTTGATTATTTGTGTGAATTAATGCCGTAATTGAATCGTTGATATTATAGTATCATCACCCACTAACTACTTATATATGATCACATCAATCATATATGACAAAGGGAGGGAGGGAGGGAGGGTGGGTGGGGTTCTAAGCTTGGTGGTAAAGTAAGCTTCTATAAAGTAAGGAATGACTTTGTTTCAAGGTATTGCTTTGCATGCCCGCTTGCTACAATTGAAAAAAGCACTACTTGATCTTGTCTTGAACGAATGGTTATGCCTCCTGCAAACCTTTTCTACCCAATTCATATTATATATAATAGCCTAGCTGCCTAGGTGACAGCAAAAACCAATGTCAAGGGTTCTCTTCTCTTTCGACCAAAAAAAAAGGTCTCTTCTCTTAATTAAGGTCTCCTTTCATTACCTTAAACTATTCTCACCACAGAGACTTGTTAATGGCTCAACAATAATTCAGACAACCTAATTCACTTGTCTCCATGTTTTTCATTGAAATCGTGATAATTTACTTTTGTTTATTGATTGAACGAAACGTTTTCTGAATGCAGCTTATACTGTTTTTAGTGAGGTAAAAAGCATCATGCAAAACAAGAAAGCAACCGAAGTTCTACCACTTTGTCAATCAGCCCCATAATCATCCAGTCATATTTGTCCTTTTGCCAATTTTAACCTACTCACTAATGTTTTTACTTTTCTAGAATAGTGTGTGTGTGTATAACACGTCAACTTCAAACATAAACATTAATTAGTTGATTAATTAACCTCCGGGCACATCGAAGGGACACCCACCTGAGGAGAGAATGATCCATTCATGTTCTTATTATTTGCCAAAAATAGAAAAAGAATGAAGAATCCGAAGACAAGAAAATATGTTGTAATCCATCATCCTCCCATGCGTTCTGAAATTTTGAAGCATATCGATCTTTTATGTAGAAAAGAAAAAAAAAACATTGATTCTGTAACTCTAAGCAATATGACAACGCAACCCAACCCAAGAAATTAAGAATGGCATGCAAAAATCGTTGTCAAAGTCAAAACTAACTCATCTTCTACCTGGGTTCGCCATTGGGTTATGTATATCACCAGGTTATCGTGCCAAATAAATAAATATGCAGCCTCCAGTTAACGTTAACGAGTCAGCACAGCACACGAAGAAATAAGGACAAACAGTTGTTGAAATATTTAATAATTGAAGTAATAATTTTTTTTTTAAAAATGGCACTAGTCGTGCACTGCTCTGCTAAGCTCTATGCAACAGGAAGAACAACATTGGCAGGTCTGCAAATCTTGCTCACAACCCAATCAGAGCTACCAAAACCTGTAACCCAAAAATCTAAATCACCAGTACCACTCTCAGTGCCACCAAATGGTATCAATTGGGATTTCTCTGCGTTCACTGCCTCACTCTCTGCTCCTCTGCTCTGCTGCTGGTTCCACTCAGAGCCCCAAAAGGGCAAGACCCATTTCAAGGATCAGCCCAAGAATGGCTCTGGCCACACCCATCACCTTTGGGTTCAATAATTTGTTGGAAACTTTCACAGTAAACGTGCAGAGAGCGGAGAATAGGCCTCTGAATGTGCCTCTGATAGCGCCTTTCACGATTGCCACTTCAAGGCTTGACAAGGTGGAGAATGTGGCTATCAGGGTTGAATTGAGTAACGGGTGTGTGGGTTGGGGTGAAACTCCAATCTTGCCTTTTGTCACTGCAGAGGATCAGCATACAGCCATGGTCAAGGCCAGGGAAGCTTGTGACTTCTTGCTCCGCAGTCCGGCGAAGACCTTGGGTTCGCTTTTGGGAGAGATTGGTGGGCTTCTTCCTGGATATGAGTTTGCTTCTGTGAGTATGATTGGGAAAGTTTACTCTTTTATTCATATGTTTATTTGCTAGTTTTGGTGTTTGAGTATTATACTTTGATTGGGTTTTTACTATTGAAAATTGAACAGCTTGGCTGTTAAATTTAGGTGGTATTGAGAACAAATTTAGTTGGTTTGCTCAAGTCAGCATTTTACTTAAAAAGTAAAAGAAAGGACGAAAAAAGTTACATCTTTTATTCATTTCTTTGGTTTGATAAACAGGCAATTCTAGGGATTATTGATCTCTTCTGCATACTTTCTTTAATTCTATCTCCTAGATTTATTTGGAGACTGGATCAATTTGGAGGATATTGTTCCAATAACAAGGACTGCTCCCATGAGTAGAAAGCTTTAAAGATTCTTATTACTTTAGTGGCAGTATTGGATCAGTGCCTCTAATGGTAGGCACTGATCCAAACCTTACGACTTACAAGAAAATAATGGGTTTCTTCAATTAAAACAATCCTGATCATAAGAATCTTATACAATTCTTTTTAAAAAAAATTTGAAACCAGCAGCTCTTGTTTATAGCAGTTTGATGATGTCTTCATTTTATAACATTACAAGGGTTTGAGAGGTCTTATTACTCTGTACTTGCAATTGAAGGTTAGGGCAGGAGTTGAAATGGCACTAATTGATGCAGTTTCTAGGAGTATTGGTGTCCCTTTATGGAGACTGTTTGGTGGAGCTTCAAATACCATAACCACTGATATAACAGTTAAGCTCTTCTTCGAGTAGTTCTGACAGTTGAAAACAGTTTATCTATTTGAATACCCAAAATAAGCTTTACTCAGTGGAAAGTGGCTGAATTATATATGCGCAGATTCCAATTGTTTCTGCTGGTGAAGCTGCTACATTGGCTTCAAAGTATCATGAACAAGGATTTAGGACTTTAAAGCTTAAGGTGGGAAAGAATCTGATTTCAGACATAGAAGTCCTTCTAGCTATACGTGCAGTTCACCCCGATTGCGATTTTATCTTGGATGCTAATGAAGGATATACCTCCAAGGAAGCTATCCAAGTTCTTGATAAATTATATGGTAAATTCTGCAAACAGAAACCGCAGTTGCAATTTTGCGGATGTGCTCTGAATAACTAACATGAATAATTTATCTAATGTGTGCTTGGAAACAGCATGATAAAGTAACATCTTTAACCTCCCACCCCCCCTTCCAGCACCCAAAAAGTAGAAAAAATGAAAAAGCTCATGCACACACTCACCATCATTCAACCTACAAATTCTGTAAATGAGTTTCTGTACTCCCATTACATTATTCTGACTACCATGTCTAGCTAGCGACTGAAATATTTTCTTGTTCTTTTTTGCTTTCAGAGGTGGGAGTTAGTCCTGTTCTCTTTGAACAACCAGTTCATAGAGATGATTGGGAAGGCCTTGGATATGTTAGTCGCATTGCGAGAGACAAATATGGAGTATCAGTTGCAGCTGATGAGAGCTGTCGAAGTTTAGTTGATGTTAAGAAAATAGTTGCAGAAAATCTAGCTGATGTCATTAACATTAAACTTGCTAAAGTTGGGGTTGTTGGGGCCCTGGAAATCATTGAGGTGGCAAAGTCATCGGGATTAACTTTGATGATTGGTGGTATGGTTGAGACTAGACTGGCCATGGGCTTTGCCGGCCACCTTGCTGCTGGCCTAGGGTGCTTTAAGTAAGTATTACCATCCTTTGTATAAAAGAAGAACTGTCTGCATATCCTGCTGGTTTTGTTACTTCTCTTTATTTTATTTATTTTCACTTGCTACTTCTTAATCCATCATTAAGCATTAATAACTTGTACAGGTTTGTTGACCTAGATACTCCCCTGCTGCTTTCGGAAGATCCAGTTCGGGAGGGTTATGAAGGTATTCTGATCTGTCTGTAACTTTTGAACTCTGTTTGAATGAGTTGTTTATTTTTTTTTATTGAAACATCAAAGCATTTTTCCGTTCCATTCATTTATGATTACCATTGGGCAAGGTGGTTATGCTTTTTATCTTGTGGCTAGTTTCGGGTGCCGTTTATACGTTCAAAAATGCTAGAGGCCATGGTGGATTTCTTCATTGGAAAAATATTGCTTGGTAAGTCTTAAGCTTACGGTACCATCTGATTCTGTTTCCAATTCTTATGCAACTAAGGAATTATTCATTGTTATAATCTCCTTGTTACTCTAAACATGCAGAAATATCTGCAGATATGAAGGCTCAAACTGTCTGGTCAACATTTGAACTCTGAGCAGTCTTTTTGGTTGGGGGAAAAAGATACTTAGAGCAGTGGAGCTTTTGAAATCCTGTTGTTTGTTGACCATGTTTCCTGTTCAATAAGACAGAAAGGGCAAAAAATTTGATATGATAGATGTGTTTTCAGGCGAAACATTTGAAATTTGTAGATGATGGGAATAGCATTCAGCATTGCAAAGGATAGCTTAGCTGATCAGCTCATGCATTTGTGTAAGCAGTAGGCAACCTATATGCCTGCCTGTTTTTGAGAAACTTTCATGTGTCATGTGTCATGTGTCATGTCCTGTTGTACCTTGCGCAACCTATATGCCGCTAATATTGAAAAATTTGATCCTGGGCTCAAGGATGTTCAATTGAGGTCTCATATAAGTTAATAACTAGTTACTTTTGACAGTTGGAAAGTAAATTCTTGAAGAAAATGAATCATTCAAAGAGCACTTGAGAGTTTTGACTCTGGATAAACTTAAAATGCATCATTGAGTTTTGACTTACAGTACCACCACCACCACCATTTCTCCCAGAGACAAAAACCCAACAGTCCTTCAGCTCTCAATGTCCCATGAACTTCAATTCAATGGCCAATGATGCTTCCCAAATGCATGCCTGATCAACCTCTTTTCGAAAAATCATATTTCATCTGCATTATTATGCATTTGTGCTTACGTTGGAATAATGACGCATGTTTCAACCGACCGAAATTGGCACACTTCCTTTCTTTGATTCATTTCAAGTCTAAACAACAAGAGTTTAGAAGATTAAACCAAACCACATCTCAAAATATATTAATTTAAGTTTAATGTTATGTACTAGATTTAGATTCATTGAAGAAAAACAAATTTACTTGTTTATATGGTCAGAATGCCAGATTGTATTATTTCTAAAATAAAATTTTATAAGGAGCTTATTTATGATTGTGAGCTTATCATTGTGAGACTCAAGTATCAAGGACAGACCGTGATGCTTCAACGCTTGACTAAAGTAGGCAATAATAGAAAGGTGAGCATGAGGAGCCATGAGGATTTGGATTAAACAAGTGAATGACTTTAGCATGATTTCATTTTCAATGGCCCACACCACATAATGATATCAAGCACTCAGAATTTGACCTTGAATGGGGCCATTAACCCCTCCTCACTCATAATTATTCATGTTTCACGCCGATTTGGTGTAGCCTTTTTCATGAAGACATTGATAATTACCTATCACTCTGCTGCATTCTACAAACAACCAGACCAATGCACTCAAAAGTGATGGGATTGGCATGCATGCCTACATAATAACAACCCTAGTACAAGGTAAAAAGTTGGGGTAACTTTGCAGTAGCATGAACAATTTACATGTTAACAACAACATCAAAATCATTTGTACCATATTTACAAATCACGTCACATTGGTTATAGAGATTACATTGAATGTGGTATTGTAGAGTAGGAAAGTATAAGATGCATGTGATGCGCAAGGGAAGATTGAGATCTTTCTTTTTACAAATTGGACAGATTTGCTTTGTCTTCTACCGAGAGATAAGAAGTTGGAGATAATTTGTCGCAAATGTCAGTTGAAAATGAAAGTTGAAGAGAGTCAGAGACAAGAAGCGCCTGCAAAGGAAAAAGATTTTATACGTATCTGCATTTTAGGTACTATTAATTAATCCGTTTATCCAAAATTCAACCGCATCCAAAAATATGCTAGTCGAGTCCAGTCTAGTCTCAGTCATCTAATCATACATATTTCATCTTTGTCACAACACCTAAATGAAATTTGTAATTGGATTCATGACCTGTTTTGTTAGATGAATTTACAAAGCAATCAAACATGTTCAAGTAAGTAACTCAACTGAACTAGTTTGATTGAGTCATGTTTCTTATGAATATGATGATCATACTGAGGACAGACAGCTATTCATGTTCATGTTGAAGCTCCCAAATTCCAAGTACAGGCGCATTATTGATGACAAAGAATAATACATTTGAAAGAAACTCAAAAAAGAATTGCATATTTTGTTGCATTCTGGATAACAATTAACAAGGATGGATGATGATGATTAGTGATTATAACCATGATTACACAAAATTCCAAGTGCAGGCAGCAGGTCAAATTAATGATGAGAACATGTGGCTGGCTGCATTTCATAAATAAATAAAAAAGTTGCCCAAATTTTACAAATCAATATCACCGAAAGGCATACACAAACACACACATACACATAGTGGTTTAAACTTTAAAGTGGGAGAGCATGCACCATATGCTTTCATAACTAGCAGTCAAAAGAAGATGAAATTGTTTAGTTTTCTTAATTAACCTAACAAGTGTGGATATAGGATAGGGATGGTCTGGTCTACTTTCTGCACAAGACTTTGTTATTAATTTATGAGAAAGATATTGGATATTCCCATGCCCATCAAATTAATTAAATTCAGAACAATAATCTATATGATCTGCAATGTCTCTGAATTTTAAAAGAACAAAAAAACCAATATGGATTTGAGTTATGAAGCAGGCTGAGAAGGTTTTAATTAGGCCAGCACCAAGCTAGGGCTTCTTGAGTTTTCTAAATGTCATTTGATTGATTGAGCTCCACCAAAGAACAAGGATCATGATGAGTGGCAAAGGACTCCACCAAATTTGTGAGCATCATCACCTCCAAGCTACTCACAAAGAAAAAACTCAAACTCCATGTGTACGTACCTATGCACGTAGGTACGCACCGTTAAATTAATAACGCACATTAAGTAACCATGATTAACTATAATTTGTAGCTAATACAGCCACTAATGTTAATTATGATTTTAACTATGAGGTAACAAACAAATAGCTTCCATTAGGTGGAATCATAATATGGCATACAGATACAGCCAATTTCTTTGTTTTTGTTTTTGTTTTGTTTTTTTTCTAATAGCTTAAGCTTTTACTAATTTGAGTGCTTGATTGTGTATTGGGTTAAAAGGTCAACTTGAGAATTATGTGTTCCGCTTCCATTAAGAAGGTAAGCAGCTGGCCTTTGAGGTTTTTTTTAATTTGGAAATGACTGTCTTTCATATCATTGAATCAAGCAGCAGCAGCAATTTATTCACGTTTGATTTGAGTGTTCTCCTTTTGGAAATGGGCCAAACCCAAGGCTTTTTCTCTCTCTGATTTATTTATCTTTAACTAATTTCTCTTAGGTGGTGACTTGTTACCAACAAATAAAAAAATAAAAAATAAAAAACTCTTGGGTAACTTGAAAAATGAAAAAAGAAAATCAAATGGGCGGTTATTTTTCTATTATATTTTGTCTTCTATAAATAGAGGATGAAAGCCAAGCCAAATGCATCACCACTCAGCCAAGCCAAGCATAGTTAATAGTTGCAAGTCTCTTTGTTTCTCAGTGGCTTTGAGAGAGTTGAGTGAAAATGAAGGCATCATATTCATACATTGCAATTGCATTGTGCCTTGTGGTTGTGGTGTTGTTGGGCAAAGCAGATGTTTCAATGGCAGTAACATGCAACCCAACAGAACTAAGTCCCTGTGCAGGAGCAATAACTTCTTCAACTCCTCCATCCACAATATGCTGCACCAAGATCAAGCAACAGAAGCCCTGCCTCTGCCAGTATCTCAACAACCCCAACCTCAAGAAGTTTGTCAACACCCCAAATGCCAGGAAAGTTGCTAGGACTTGTGGCACTCCCTTCCCCAAGTGCTAGCTACATACATCCATGGATGATTGCATCATGTCTCACAAACACCTTCAGCAATGCAATCAAGGGGAGGGACTTATATATATATATTATATATGTGTGTGTTTGTGTGCGCGTGCACACGTATCTTTATCTTGCTCATTAATTAGTTCCATGATTTGCCTAATAGATATTAGAAAGAGTTAACTCATATGTGCTTAATTTGGTGTGTTTTATTTTATGGCATATTAATATCCATCTGTATTCTATAAGCTATGTATTTTAGTAAAAGGCACTACTTGTTGTTACATGCCACATGCCAGCATTTTCAGTGTCTTCTCAGTCTCTTGGTTTGTTGTGTGGTGTATCACCGTATCAGTGTATCAGTAGTAGTGGTGGTAATGAGAATTTTAATCGTGTCTAAATGCCCCAACCCAAGCTTTATTAATCTTCTCTCTCCAATACTGCATCATTACTCCTCACTCAGTTTTATTTACCCTTTCTTCTTTCCTAATCTTCTTTCCTAATAGCTTAAGAAAAAATGCATATCTGCATGCAACTCAACTGCTTTGAGGTGTTGAATTGCTAAATGCTAACGAGTAATGAGAACTTCCAGAATTGAGTAAATTATTTTAAGCTAAGACCGGCAAGCACAACTAAGAACAATCAATGGTTTTCAAATATTTGCTTATATGCATGCAGCTGCTTGGCCCCAGGAACATAACCCAATAGCTCGTCTCTCTGGTGCAATTAGTAAAGGGATTTTTTAAAATAAAATTCAACATCACCCTTTTTCAAAATGAGAATCCAATTGCTGGAAAAAGAAAAAGAAGATGGTGAAGTGATGTGATGTGCGGTGCTGTGCTGTGCTGTGCGGTGCAGAGAAGCCTAATGAGATAATCCATAACCCCACCTCCCCCCTCCATGGTTGGTGTACACAGATTTGTAACGTAACCAATGGAAATGAATCAATTCTTTATTGAGATCTGAAAATTACAGAAACTAGTGTTCCAAATCAACACCATGCATAGTGTGCATTGTGCTCACTAGTATTCCAAGTCACTCACACTCACACCACTTGAAAATTCATTTACATGTACAGAATATAAAGAATGGAAGTACTTACAACAAAATGTACTTTCTCACAAGTTAAGAAGGTTTGAAATTGGGTTCCAGCCCGTAATCCATGACCTCTTATCAGATGGAAGCACAAAATTGAGTTCAAACATCTCTTTTGACATGTTTCCACTTTCGCAGAAACCAACAAGCTTTGCAACTATTTCAGCGCTCTCCTGAACATGCTTGGCATCATGGGGATCAGTCCAGAGCTTATTCACAAACTGCATCTTCCTCTGCTTCCCTTCAAGTGGGACATCCCATTTCATATACAATGCATCTCTCTCCTCCACAGTCAAACGTGAAGTCAGCCTCTTAGCAAGGAACTCCCTTTCACGCTTTAGTGCTCTGATACTGCATATAAGAAGAGGGTACAACGTTATTAAAACACTAGAAAATTTCACCCAGTTTCCTGGCAACAGCCACATACAAACACAAAGGAAAGAGAGAGAAAAAGAACCTTGATGACAAAGAGACTGTGGGTTCATCTCCCACATGGGCAGGACTAGAATTCCCAAGTTCTGCCAGATGATGTTGCAACCATGTCAACCGCCTCAGCTCCACTTCCACATAGATTTGGTCAGCTGGATCCCCCTTAAATAACAAATAAAACTGTGTCCTATGAATGATGGAGACAAAACACAAATCCCACAACTCAATGATCTGCTGTCTTTGTTCCTTAAAAGTTATTTGCCATGAGACCATAGGCTCCTCTGGCTCACATGTGTTCTCATCATTCTCTATATCGTACCCAGCTGCTTCATTTGCTTCTAGCTCAAGAACCTAGAGGCATAAACCAATTGAAATGAAGTGAGATTTCTTCATAAGGGCTTAACACTGAATGAATGTATGTATATGTGTACGTGGAAAAAACAACTCGGTCACTGAAATATGTGAAGGCATATTACAAAGCACAAAGAATGCATTTCCATACCTGGCAAACTAGTAGCTGCTTTTGGTACTGCAATTTGGCCACCCGCTCTTTCAGTTCTGTTACATAAGTTCTTATGTTTCTAACATTCTCTTCTGCTGCATTTTGGAACATCTTCTGCATTTTCTTCATGTTTACTGAACTAGAACGCCGATACCCTCCTGGAGTGTTTTCCTTTGATGAGACATCTCCACATTCTTCATTCTTTGTGGGAGTCCCCTTCTCAGACTCCGGTTGAGTCTCACCAGACAAAATATCATCATTCTCAGGAGCCCTGTTTTCGATTTCAGACTCTGCAATTTGCCGAGAAGTTGATAGAGGCGAGCATGGTGATCTGATAAAATTTTGCCGGATGGGAACATTAATTGAGGCCAAAGGTTGCAACTTTTTCTTTTTGGGTTCCTTCTTAGACTTGGGGGTTGACTCACTATTGTACTGTTCATAATTGCTAGGAAGAGACATCACCAATTTATCTATAGACTTCTGAACACTTTCTAGCTGTTCCTCAAGATTAGCAATAGTGCTGCCCTGTGAATGAAGTCTCGTAATCTCTTCCTTTAGATTAGCACTGACACTCTTGTTAGTAGCAACTACAGTTCCAACTTCAACTTCTTTTGGCTCTGATCTGACAGCACGCATTTCTCTTATTTCTGCTTGCAGATTGGCAATTGTTTCAGCTGCATCCTGATTGCCTAGCCTATGACAAGCTACTTCCTTTTGTAATACTTCCAGAGCTCGATTTGCTTCCTCCCCAAGCTGTTCCTGCAGGTGTTCAAGTTTACGGATTTCATGCATTAGTGTGAAAGGAGCAGCTGATGATTGCCTCATAGACTGCCTGAGCATTGTATTTCTTGCTCTATCACCACGACCTATCTCCTTTGTATCGAGTTTTGTTGATAGCACACCAGTGTATGAGAGACATTTCTTCACAGAGGGATGGGGTAATTCCAATGGGTTTGAACCCTGAAGTTGGCATATAATAAGAATCTATAAGCATTTTAAAATACAATTCATATATATAGTGGGGGAGGGGGAGAGATATAGAGAGGAGATAATGGGAAATAGACCTGTTGATCCTCCTTTAGTTTTTGGCGTAATTCATCCACCTGAGATTGAGCAAGGTCTCTTTGGCGTCTTAATTCTTCCATCTCCATTTCCATCTAGTCATGGCCAATAGTAATTTTATTATATACATTTACAAGCACATCAAATAAAATATCGGGCAAGACATAGTATGGCAAGTTTACCTGCTGAATTTTCAAATCCTTTTCCGTTGATGGATCAGGGGTGCGCAGCTCTGCTTCCAGCCTTGCTACTTCCTTCTGCAAATGTTTCACTAGCTGCTTGTCCGAAACAACCTAGAAAAAAACATTTTACATATATCAATAACTAGATAACTAGATTATCTATTCTCAATACGTACAGATGCAAACTGAAAAATGTTACAAACAAATAAATAGTACCATATTCACACGAGCATTATTCGTTACTTCCTTTGCCCTGGTGGCAAAGAAGAGAGTATTTCGAGATTGTTCAAAATGGCTCAATGCTGGACTCAAGGTGCATATGATGGCAGTGCGTGCGTTCCCACCGAGAGAATGCTGCAATATGCGAGTGAGCTTTGAGTCTCTATATGGTATATGACCACTTCTTTTCCCAACGCTGCAAATCAAAACAGTTCATACAGGTAAGAAAGAAAATTGATTATAGATCAGATATATATATGATATATCTCAATCACATAATCTCCTACTTAGGCCCTGACATGGTATTTTTGTCCTCTAGACAATGAGTGTCCACTCCCATAATTCTAATGGGTGCTCATTACCAGGTAGCTTCTGCACCCTATAATATTTATAATCTTCGAAGAGTAAACTCCATAACTCCTACTTAGGCCCTGACATGGTATTTTTGTCCTCTAGACAATGAGTGTCCACTCCCATAATTCTAATGGGTGCTCATTACCAGATAGCTTCTACACCCTATAATATTTATAATCTTCGAAGAGTAAACTCCATAACTGGACACGTAGGCTTTTTATACCAAAGGATCAAAATTTCAAGATACAGAAATTTGCATTCAGAAACCTCATTTACCATTCTTTTGCTATCATGGCATATCAAAGCATGAATGTTAAAAATGAAAACATCCATTAAAGGGTTTCTAATCCCTCACAAGATAAAGATATGCAGCTATAGATTCTGACCTGAGCTTTCTAATAACAGTTGTAAGTGTCATCAAGCTAAGGTTAATATGGCAACCCTCCCTCAGCCTAGCACCATCTGCATGTGTTTGTGAAGCTCTTTCGCTTCCAGCCAGATCTACAAAGTTCTGCAGATCATTGATATCGACAGTTATTGACTAGAAAGTAATAATTGAAGCAACTTGGATTTGCAGGAAGAGTAATTTGTTCCATTTAGTTTTACCAGGCTTGCAACAAAAGATCTCACGCAATCTGAATTCTCGCGGAGGGTACTTTCAATTGTCTGTTCAATGTCCAAGTCATCAGAAGAAGAAAAAAACATCATTAACTAGAGTCAAAGATAGTATGATCAATGAACTGACCAGCCTTATTATCTGATGTGACCGTGAGCTGTTATCATTTAAAGCAGTTTCACCAACTTGTCTTTGGGCTACACAAAAACAAGGAAATTCATTATCTTCTCACGCAAAAACTTTGGGAGAGTAAAAGAAGCTGATTCAAGCCAAGGGATCCGCTGGTTTACCCTCACAAATGCTGATTAAATGCCTCAAATGCTGATCATTGCTAGCAGTCTCCTCCACCAGCTTCTCAACCACGGTACCTTTCTACAATAAGAAAATACTAAAACTTGAGTAAAGAACAAAAAAAGAATAAGGCAAAGAGCAGACTCAGGCGACTTATTACGATAGTACCTCTGGATCATCTAGAAGCTTCAAGTTACGGCCTGATTCTGAGTTTAGCAGGTCCCTCACATTCTCATTGTATATTTCAAGTCCTGAAATCTTTATCGTGAAGTCTCTCTCTGGAGTCTGCAATGAAACCATAAGAGCACCATTACTTTGGAAGTTATATAATCTTCACTATGAATTTCATAATTTCTGTTACTTCACTGTGATTAAGCTTACATTCATTATATGGTTGTAGATATCAATGACAGCTTTCTCTGTTATTCCTCTCATTGTATACGTCTTCCCACTGCTAGTTTGGCCGTAAGCAAATATAGTTGCTGCAGTGCAAGATAAAGTAAAACAAATGTTCAATGCAAGTTAAGGATTAAAAAGGAAGACGCGACACGAGTTTAAGGATATCCCACTACCATTGATGCCCATCAAAGAAGACAAGGCCACATTTTTCACCCCTTCCTCATATACTGTTTCAGTTACGCAAGAAGGACCAAAAACCTTATCTGCAAACAGAAGAAACCAATGAATAATAAACTAACATGAGCCATCATCAGGAAGGAGAAAATTATAAAGAAGAAACATAGAGGTTTTTCCGTACCAAATGTAAATGGGGCCGGTTGAGCTGAGCGTTCTTGAGGCGGTGGCTTATAAACAATTGTGGTATCATCAATGCATTCCCACGCGACCTGGTCTTTTGCTAGTTGCTCCCTTTTGCTCAGAGGCCTCAAACGCACGGTAACAACAATCTTCTCCTCCTTAGCTCTTGGCCCCCCCGGAGTTGATACTGGCGTCCTATCCATTTTCGAAGTTGGTGTTGATACTGGTGTCCTGTCTATTTTCGAAGCCGGTGTTCCAGGAGTTTTGACAGTCATCTTTATTCTGAATCTACCGGATTAACTGAGCTAACAGGAACACCAACACCGAATATTGGAAAAGATTTTCCATATGCAAAAAATGAAAAATTATCTAACTTGTTCAAATCTCTAATAAGGAATTCGACTTCAACAGTTACTTGTAAAATAAATTTGAACATGTTTACAATATAATAGAAAAGGAAACAAAAAATAATAATTCCCCTGCTAGTAATCATGTTAAGAATCAATTGGTTTCCAATTAAGATTGGATTCATCAAATATCCACTGATTTTTTTACATATATGGAAAGTGAAAATCTGTAAGACGAGTTTAAAAAAGCAAACTCACAGAAATAGCAAGCCGAACTCGACCGGAAAACTCCTGGAAATCTCAGCCCAAGGAAATTGAGAGATGAAAGGAGCGTTTAAGTTTGAGACCAGAGCTTTGAAGTCGAATTCAAGGAATCGAAGAAGAAGAAGAGGAAAGAGAGTCGTAAGAAAATGATGAAAAGCTATTGCCTCATTCTCTCTGTCTGACTTTATTATTCAATTTTGAATCTGAGGCTCCCAACGGCTAGTTTTCCTTTTCTTTCATTTTTGTTTCTTCGGCTTTATTAATTAAATGTTGGGCAAATTTACGGTTACACGCCGAATTGTCCCCAGACGTTTTCGTGAGTTAAATCGCCAACTCCGAGTAAAGCGGGACCGAGTTTCAAGTCTTAACGGTTATTATTTTATTTATTACTTTTCTATTAATTAATTCTCCCTCTACACAAAAGGACAAAAAGCATGAAGAGTTTCAATTATTGCTCTCCACCCTGGCCCCATCAAACGAATCTGAGTTTGGGCCTCCTCTTCTGAAAGTAAGGGCCCATAATAAGTGAGAAGTGGGGCTTCGTAGGCCGTGATGGCTTCATTTGGTTTATAAAACATGGCCCTGCTTGAACTTCAATTTTTTTAGTTGAGTTTCAGTGTTGCAAAATTCTATAGCGAGGGTGCCATATATGGACCCCTCATGTAGACCATTCATATTTGCCATATGATTATTTCATTAAACTAAAGTGAAGTTATTATTCAGATAAATCGTGTGGCTGATATAAAAGTCCACATCTATGGTCCATATACGGTACCCTCACCTATGTTCGCTTGTCACCCAACCAATGAAGGATTTTCGAGTTCTACTTCTAAAAAAGAATCCCATGAAAGCCAGACCAATTTGAAGCAGCACAACATTTTAAACATCCATCTGCTTTACATCTCTACTTGTGAAAATATGCATAATATTCCTAAAACCAACAGATCAACATAAATATACATATCTAATACACCATTTCCATTTTCATCTCTATTGGTCTTCTTGACATTATTCTTCTTCCTTCCTTCCATGCCTTTGGGTTTTTCTTTCACTGCTTCCTCTGTCTTTTTTCTGTTTCTTCTTTTATCTTTAAATTTTGTAAATGCCAACTTTCTCTTCTGTTTTTTTTCTTTCTTGCATTCATAAACACAAAATTCACACCTAAAAGACCTCTGAAGGGCATTCCAGCATCCTCCCAGCCATATATGCCATATACCATATACCTCAACATGGCCATGGATCAAGCATTCAATTTCAAGGCTTGTAAATCGTGGAATGGAAGCTAAGGCAGTTGCATTGCATCAATGAAACAACTTTCAATTTCACCTGCAGTACATGCCGTGGGAAGCAAAGAACTGGAAATCCGGGTGATTGACCTGAAGCAGGGTTAGCCAATTGCCTGCAGCCTGCATCAGGGAATTTGCCAGTTGACACTCCATTACTCCATTTTGTGTCCACGTTGTTCTTTTTAACTTATAAGCAGCCATTCCAAAAACAGGTAAGGAAATCTTTGGTACACCGTCCATCTCGGTGGGATAGACCATCACTGGAGCCTGCGTGCTTCCACTAACTGCCCAAAAGAAAAGAAAAATGTTAGGGTATCAACAATGGCAAGATAGAATAAACATTATTGTAGATTAAATCATTTTCATAACCACAGAGATAACAGTAAATAACATGTTATAGAGCGCCTCATATCATGAACTATAGCTGTCACTCATCATCAAACTCAAGAAAGAACATAGAAGAGCTACCTCCTGCTGTTAGATCTCTATCATCAAACTTTTCACAGGTAATTGTAACGCTTGAAAATAGAAACATATCCAGGATCCTTTCCCATCCCCCAGTTCATCACCACTCTCTATCTCTCTCTCCCTCCCTTCCCTTCCTGTGTATAAGTACACACTAACCGCTCAGAACTAAGGCAAGCAAATATTGTTGTGCCAAACACAAATACCCAGCTATCTAGTACCAGCAAGAAGCATAAAAACGTTTTTTTTTTTCTTTTCATTTTTCACTCATTTTGTTTAATAAGCTATTAACTCCAAACACACCCTTTTACCGTCCCAAGTTTGTGCCTGCAGGCAGATACAAAAGAATCTATTTATGGTAAGTGGCACAGTATACAAATATTGTTTGCATCAATAATGTGTTTTTGAAGAAAATATTAAATGGATTGAGATTGACTTGGGAAACTTTCTACTAAGAAAACTTAGGAAAGAAGTTCTGGTTCATGATATGGATAAAGATTTGGGAAGCCTGATTCTTATCCAGTGAAAGGAAAATAATTTATCATATCGAAATGCTGGCAAAATACCACAATACCAATTCTTGAAAGAGTCACAATTACCTGCCGTGGGTGTTGAAAGTGAATGATACGTCAGAAAGCAAGCTTCCAAATCTTTCAGTGTTGGACCCATAGGTATTCGATATATGGGATACCTACAAAATTCAACCAGAGCAGTTGAATTTTGGTCCATACAAGGCAACATAATAGTAAAGATAACGTTTTCTTACCAAGCCACTGACATCCAACTTCCTGGCAGTAAGTCACAACTTCTTAATGTCTTCAACCCAGGGTACTGGCATGCTAGATCTGATATCTGTTAAAAATCACAATAATATATATTAAATAAGGCAATAATAAACGAGCCAAAATATACTGCAGCAAAATAATAAACTCGCCTTGTCAGACAATGGTTCTCGGCCATATGGAGCATCCTGCTCAAGAAACTCAAAAAGCAGGACACCACGAGAATTCCCAGCTTCTCCATCATCACTAGAAAAGCCTTCTTGTAACAAAGGGTGTCCATCATGTATGGACAACCCGCCCATTCTAATAGGAACATCCGTGTTTAAACGGTGAAGAGCTTGCTGCTCCTTAGCGGTCTTTTTGTGTTTCTCAACTTCATAATCACTGCTTGCATCACTACTCGAATCCAAATCGTAGTCAACATAACTGTCCTCACCAACTTGCCTAATCAAACGAGAGAAAATCAAAACCCAGTTAGATGCCAATAGACCATATCACACACTCGAATATATATTATCATGAATAACATAAGACTACATGAGATAAAAATTCATAACAAGAAATGCATAAAAAATGAATAGACATGGAACAAAAAGAGAGCAGAAGAGTGGGGAACAGGGCGAAGACTGGCAGAAATTTGAGAAATTGAGATTCTATAAAATGAAACTGAACATAATCAACACATAAAGTTTCCAAGCACCAAATCATTATCTATCACAGTTTGTCACCATAACTTTACAACAGAAATTTGATCAATTAAGCATCCTAGATATGAATGTACAAAGTGATATGATTCTTCATCAGAAAAAGTTTGATGGTGATGACCACATCTACATAGATAGTACTAGTTTATTGAAGAAAAAGATTGGATCAGCAGCGCATGATACATTGTATGATTAAATTTCATCAAAACAAATAGTACTAGTCATGGAATGTCGACAATAAAGCATCATACTAATATTTCTGAATAGAACCAATGTCCTGCGCGCCAAATCATTTAAAATAAGATTGCGTGTAACTAAATAATCATTGTAAACAACACGTGTGCAACAAAGAAAGCAAATTCAACTGGATTTCAGAACAAATATTTGTGCATCAGAATTGCTGGTATTGTCCAAAGATTACAAACTAGCATCAAAATGTATGAATGCAACCAGAATTTTTTTAATACCTTGACTTTGCATTTGACTTCACAGAAGATTCCCCATATAATTGGATACCAGATAAATAGGGAACATAATATTGAATAACAGAATCACTTTTGTTAAGTACCAATGGCACTCCTGCCCCATATGCACTCCACTCCCTAAACGATTCCCAAAGATCATTCAATGTGAAGTAAGGCTGAAACTCAACATTGCAAGTCCTCCACCCCCTCATTGTCGTCTGCACCAAAAGAAACAATCTTTCAGAGGATTGCAAAACTAAGTAACTCCTCATTGAAATAACAAAACAGTGTAGTAGAAAGGCAATAAATCTTATTCTGAAGTTGTTTTTGCACCTAAGCGTAGCTTATAATTATCTCAAGTCCTAAGTTACGGAAACTCCAAAGGTAAAAAGTCTCATTTTCTACACGTTCTCGTATATTTTGGCATCAGCAAAACATGCCGTCTGAGAAACCAACTAGACGTGGTCAAAATCTTTGCTTCATTTGTTCAAGGCTTGGCAAGTGCAGCCCCTATTATTCTCCCACATATGGAAAACCCAACAACAAAAACTCAGTTTCCTTCACATTTTCAGACAATCTTAGAGCAGCCAAATACAAAGCACGACAGATAAAACATAAAGATATGATCAACCTTAGAGAAATACTGCGCAGGAACTGAAGGAGTGGTGGACTCCAAGAGCCTGTCAAGATTACTACTAGGCTTTAGAGATGACTCAGAAGAAGGCTTTGCCAATGTATTTGGAGGCTCTTTGGGGCTTCTTTTCTCAGAAACCACTACTTTGCTCTTTGGAAGCTCTTTGGGGTTCTCGTTTGCATCATTCTTGGCTTTCCTAGCTTGCTTTTGCTGATTATTGTATCTCTTTCTTGCTTTCACAGGAATGTAAAACCTGTCCTCCCCACGTACATTTCCAAACTGTAACCCACTTCCCAACATTTGCACAGCTCAGACCTTTTCAAATAAAACTGGTACCTCCGCTTGGTTACTGAGAAAACGGAGGAAACTACAATGAAAAGGCAGGAACTTTGCAATATACTCTGTTTTTTTCTTTACTTGTCTGGTTCTCAAGAAAGAAAAATTCGAAACCCAACTCACCCAAATTGAAAACAAATAAAAAGAGGTGTTCTGTGAGTGATTCTTTAGCTCATCAAAGTCCCAAATTAGTACTAGATATATAAGATGCTGATATTTATAGAAGGAAAGCGATCATTCGTCCGGGATTTCTAGCGATTTCTCGGTAACCAAAAACAGCATAGAAAACTCAAAATTTATCTTCGAAATCCCAAATTGAAAAGAGAAAAAAAATCGTATTGCAAGTGATCAGATCAAAGAAACTCACAAAGCCCGAAAGCGTTGTATGATTAAAATAAAAAACCGGAAAATTGGATCGGAAAGCTTCAAAGCCTAGAGAGAAAGCACTGCGGATTAAATGAGAGCCGAATGAATGGGTTTTGTGGGAAGGAAGAAAGAAACAAAGCCTGAAGGAAAGCACCTGGAGAGGGGAAGCTTGAACCAGTGTGTCTTATAAACGAAGACGAAGATAATAATAATTTCTTATTTTATCACAAGTTTATTTGTTTGTTGGTAATATTGGTTTTGGTTATTGTGGTAAATGAATTAATAAAATATTTTGGGAAGGAAATAGGTGATGTGCAGTAGTTGCACAATTGTGATTGGTGGGTTAGTTTATGACCTGGCATTTACAGTATACTTTACATTGGCAAGTGCAAGGCACGAGGCTCAGGAGTAGGTGGTTTGGTGGTACGTGCACACTTGCAATCAAGTGAGAGCTACCAGCCTTCTAACACGCAAGATTATGATTAAGCTCACTCATAAATTTCTTCATTATTGTGATTTTTTTTTTAATCTTCTTTGGTAATTTATAAATAGTGAGCTTTTTGTGTCATATTCCAAAAAAAGAAGAATAAATAAATAAATAAATATTCCTTTGAATTTGGGTAACTTTTTCATTAGAATTTTTTGGCTTTCTATATTTTTGTGTACTGGTCAGCAGTTTTGACCACTCAATTTTTCAATAGTTGAAATGGAATGTGTCATTGAGGAAGGGTAATGGATTTTAATGTACTTAATGTTTGTTCACATCGAAACGAGTTGTTGAGTTTGGTCATATCAAAACGAGTTGTTGAGTTTGGTCATTTTTTTCTTTGGTCATAAACTTATAGGTTGGGTTTGGTTCACAAACGCAAACTATGACATTGCAATTTTGTTTGTACAATGCCCAAAATAAAATTGTTATAATAATTTTACTAGCCCCTTGGTACATGCTCATGCATGTGCAAATTGGGGTTTTTTTATAAAAAAAAATTTATTTTTAGAATTAAGAAAATATAATATGGGTTACGTTTAAGTAGGAGCAATTATCTGATTTTGTTTTTATTTTTAATTTTTTAAATATGAAAAAATATGAATTTACCATATTATCCTGATTTAATTAATAATTTCAATTCTTAATGTTTGAATTAACCAATGACATTTTCTAGTATTTTGAATGTTTCACCATTCTCTGTCTTTTGCTCTATATATAGATAAACATATATGTTGTTTTCAGGACAACTAATTGTTATAATGACAGTTGGATTCTTAATTAATACAGAACCACTGAGCTGACGTGCTCTCTCCTTCCTCTTCTTCATCGTGCAGCAACCTATATTTTTTGTCTGAATTTTGAGCTTGGTATAATCATGCAAAATAAATCATATTGAATGTTAGGTTTAACCGAAAATGCTAGAAATATAGTTGACAACAGTGAGGTAAATTTGGGTTGTGGGTTGTGTGTTAGATAGAGAACGCCCAAGGAAACAACCAACACGAATAGAAAATAGAAAATAGAAATGGTATTTGATTGGTTAGTGCATTAACTTGGTTTGATAATATTTTGCAAGATACGTGCAATGTCCCAATCAATGAAGGAAGAAGGAAGATGGGATAGGACACAAGTATTTAGTGGCAGGAAGGGAGACAACGAGGTTGACTCGTGGCCCTACTCTTATCAACTCAACTATATGTTACACAAAATTAAGATCCAACAACAAAAATATGATATACATGTAACACACATGTAATCTACCAGAAAAATTTGTATGAAAATGAGAATAGCACTGTTTTGTTATACTTTTTTAATCACAAACTGCCACATGGAAAAGTTATCACGCTTGATATACCGTGATTGGCCAGATATAGCAAAATAGTATTATCATCGTTTCGTCTAAGTGTTTCTCTGTACTCCTCTTGGGTTTGGTGGGTTATTATTTTTATTTTTATTCTTTTTGAAAAAATGATATTATAAACTTGGTCGGGGGGCAGCCAATATCCCCATCATTGTCCAGGAAGGACTTGACCAAATGTTGTTCATGAAGCCACTCAACTTGGTCAACCCTGGTTCTTTACAAGGCATAGACATGCATGGATTGATTTTCCCAACCCCAAAAAAACCAGTCAATATTATGTAGTGCAGCAGATTTCCCTTTTTTCACATAATTTTAGCAAAGATACCCATCTGGTCTATGCCCAAATTCATGCCTTTGGTTTTCGAAGAAGGAAGATAAGGAGGAGCATGAAGTGCAATGAGTGCTGCAACTAAGCCAGCATTGCTTGATATGCTAGGCTCAGTGAACTCTTGTTTGTCCCTTTGGTCTATAAAGTTGTCAAATTGGTCAGGTCCTGCTACCATGGCTCCCAAAAGCAAATTGGGATTTGGGTCTTTGGAGAATTGCCATCTATCTTCTCCGTCTTTGCAAGAGTAATATTGACCATCCCAAGGGATTGATGCGCTCCTATGGTGCACTTGGCTTGGAAACTTATCTCCAAACCCAACCATGTAGCTCATCTTCATGGGATTTTCTCCTAGAATGTAATTTACCTGAAAACAATGCATGCAGATTGAAGACTATAATAATATAATTAATATATGCAATGCAATATTACTTGCCTGAGACGTGGAGAAATTACGCAGCATATCCAGGGAAAAGCCGAAACCTCCGCAACTCCTACCAGAACTCCGCAGAAGATCAAGGTAGTCGCTGTACAATTTACTAAGAAAGGATGCTGTTGCGGCATACTCCAGACGAGCTGCCCCAAGATTAGGCCATTGGATGATCAATCCACCTGCATTCATTTAGGATTTTTGAGGCACATGCATTTCATCTTTGAAGTGAAGCATCATATCAACATGTAGATCTAGGCATCCATTCCATTTCCATATATTAATACCTGGTGTCATTTTCTGAGAAGAAAGATAAGAACACATGAGGGAGTCCGTCATATCCGAGGATGCGCCTAAAGAAGCTTCATACGGGAAGCCAAGATCACGAAAAAATTGCAGACGCGTTAGCAACACCTACAATATTATGTATGCAGAACTGTGATCACAAAGCTTATCTATTTCTGAAACTTCCCAGATTGATTATTTGCAACGAAAATTACCGCGTTAGCAGTAAGCTTGTTGTTCCAGTAGAAAACCCCTTTATCAGCACTTGTTTCATTCCCCACTGCATAGTCAAATTCTTCTGTGGCATATCCTAGATATGAATTGTCACCAGTAGCAAAAAATAGCCATGTTCCTCCCCAGACCAGTTCATCTTGGTGACCAGATGAGTTATAAAAATTTCTAGCTTCTCCTCCACAAGCATCAACCTTGGTGTATGTTCCTTGCCTAGCAGGGTCTAGCTTAGTAATTGCACTCTCAAATAGCTTCTCAGCTGCTGTGACTAATTCTCCTGAGTAAACATTGTCTTCTTTAAACACTAATGAAGCAGCTGATAATGCTGCAACAATTTCCCCTGCTAAATCGGAAGCTGTGTTATCGCAGAATGAAACAGTTCTCTTGTAGTCCATGTCTTCAGGTCTTTGCCAGCAGTTTATATCATTAGGAACCTTGGCATCGCTGTTTGCACTTCCAATCTAAATTGGAAAAGAAAAAAAAACCAATAACAAGGAATATTGTCACTAATTGTCCATTATAATGTTCATGAAAAAGGATTATTAATTATGGTACAAAATTGTTCATAAGGCTTGCCTGAGAATACAATATGGTATCTGAAGTTGTGTTAGGGGGAACAAAGAGTTTGAGCAAATAATCACTTCCCCATTTGATTATGTCCTTGACATGATCAAGCTCACCAATATCAGCATACTTGTCATGATATTCAATCACACTCCAACTCAACAGGGTTACAGTATAAGCTGTAGGGAAGCTGAATTTTATGTTGTTGCCAGAATCATAGAAACCACCCTCAAGATTAGCCGGTTTACTGCCTGAGTTCCCATCTTGCAATCCTGAACTTGCTCGAAATTTTACCGGACTGTTATTGGGGTACACCCCAGCTGATGAAGAAGAATTTTTCAGCAAATTAGATGAAAAATTAATTATATGGCAAATCCTATAATGTAACTGTTTCTAATAAAATGCATATGATGGTAGAAATATATTACACTTTTGAGCATCGAAGAACGTTAGAGCTTGGTTCAATGCAAGTGTAAGATTCTTTGAAGGACGATCGTGATGATGTTTTGAAGGCAAAAAGTGTAGCAGTAAAAGTAGAGCTAGGATAAGAAAGACTGTGGAGACAGAAATGTAAAGACAACGTTTAAAGTACTTTTTATCTGTGATAACAAGATTGTATTGATAGGACTTGGAGTACCGGGGAGGGATTGAATCGTTGGCCATGGTAGACTGAGGAAGAAGGTTAAAGTCAATTTCTATAGAATTCCAACGACTTGCGGAAGGAAGCAAACGGCGGGCCTCTGAAGTATGAACAAACCTCACAGGTTCTAAGTCTGATGCAGAAGTATGTGAGACAGTGTGGGAACCTAGAGAAGATGGCATTGCTTGCTGTGAACCTGGGAGGTGGAGTTGTAGGTAGGATAGAGCAAATGGCACTGAAAAAAGAAGGGAAATGTTTTGGTGTATTCTAAATATTTGCCCTTCTCTCTGTGGTTTTTTTATGCTGCATTGGCATTAATTAGGTCTCCATCATCAAATTCAAATGTGGATAGGAACTAAAAAAATCATAAGTTTCAAGTAGTATAAAATTACTTGCTGTAGTTATTCACAATGAAACGGTTTCTTGATAAAGCAGAAGCATGAGCTAGCTAAACCACAAAATTTCGATACTATCAAAGAGAATGAATCGTTGGCCGGCAATTCAATTTACATCAGAAAACAGTTAAAAGAAACCAATTTACTTATAATAATTCAAGTAACTAAGAGCTGGTGAGTAGTGTCTTCCAATCCAAATACAAGGCAAGGCAAGAAAAAACAACTGAAAATAAAAATCAGTGACATGAGAACAGTTTCAGCAGATGGTTACTAACTACTGGTTAGTGCGTGGCATATATTAATATGATACTGTTGTTGGGATTGAGAGCTCAGCTTTCGGCCTCTGTATATATGCAAAGAAGGATCAAAAGGGACCAAAAACTTGTCCTAGGACAGGACCATGGGTGGGCTTGTTTGACTTCTTT